AAATACCCAAGTGACCTGGGTGGTGAGGGATCACTAAATATTCACTAAATATTCACTAAATATTCACTAAATATTTGGGCATCTGGTGACCAAACCAATAATCAGAGAGAGAGAGATGAGTTGAAAGGATTGCAGTCTTTCTTTTCTCCTTTTAGAGAAAATGAGTTACAATGATGGATGGTGAGGTCTGAAACCACAGAAATAAAAATAAAAGGAAAACAACAAATGCTGAAGAACAGTTTAAAAGGGCAGAGCCTAAAAGAAGACTCAGTTCTTGGCTTTGATTCAGCCTAAGAAAAGCTAAAGATTCTAGGCACAGGGAATTGTGGTGGCATGATTTACAAGCTTCTGTCATCAGTGCAATTAAAACAGCCACGTTGATGAAGCAAATGCAGCAGGAAACCACTAATTTAGTCATTGTGTTACTACCAGGGAAGAGCCTGACAGCTCCCTGTAACACCATTCCTGCACTAGGCTTAGGATCCACTGCAAGCAGAAGAGGGAGAAACTGGAAATATTGCCTTTATTCTTGTTGTATTATTGGGAATGAGATGGAATACTAGAATAAGTTGGCCTAAATGAGTTAGTGTTGCACCCAGAACTCTTTGTTAGGGTTGCTAACACTTCATACCCACAATAAAGTCTTGATTTTCCATACAAACAGTGTAACTTCATGGAATATTTGCTCAGCACTCTGCTCTAATAACTCAACTGACTGTTAAATGCAAAGGTGACTGTTTAGATGCAAAAAAGACTGAGATTGTGAGGAGTTTGCATCTTGGCAGGAAAAGCACCCAGGAATTACTCTGTGTAAGGGAAGAGATAAAAATAAGCTTATTTTTTGTCCTTCAGAAGTCATAAATTCAGATTAGCAACTGAGGGAGTGAGGTGGTGATTGTTTAGAGTTCTACACTTTTGAAAGCAAAACCTGAGTAAGGAAAAAAAGGAAGGGTAACATGGTAACATGAGAATACTTTCACTAGAAAGCATTACAAAGCAGCATCAGAACAGAGCATTTCTCTCCTTATTCCTGCCCTGCTGCAGTGTCTGCTGCTTTCTGAGCGGGATTCCCTCCCCTGCTCCCCTGGCAGTTTGTGCCCCGACCCTGATAAACCCACGGGCAGCCCAAGATCCACTGCAGAATGTGGAATCCCTGCCAGCCATGGCCACACAATGGGGATTTCTGTTCCTTTGTTGGTTGTATCCCTCAAAAAGTTCCTCAGCTCTCAGCCACTCTCCCAGGACTAGAAAAAAAAAAAAAAAGTGGAATATGTCAGAGTAAAAAAATATTGAGGAAATCTTTGGTAGCAGTTTGTTTTAAATACATGGACTGCTACAGCATTCCCACCTAATCACTGGGTTCCTTCACCTCAGGTTCCAGACTCCAGCCCCCCATTCCCAGCCCAGCTCTTTCCCACTATGCTTGAATTTATTATTCAATTTTAAATTTATTTTTATGTTCAGAGATCCTCAGCCTTTCCCTCTTGTGAAAGACAGGGTAAACCTGGGGTCCTTTATCTCCTTATGTGTATTTTTCTTTGGCAGAAAGGAAAAAGGTAGCAAAAAGACTATTAAAAGTATCAAAAAGTTTAAAGGTGCAGCTAAATCTGATTTTCACTCTGTTTTTCTCCCCAAATCCTCAGTTCCTGCCCTCTTCCCCTTCAGAAAGCTGCTCTGTGTCTTTCCCTTTTTCGCTGCTCTTTCCTGCTGCCTCCTTTTCCCACCACATGCCTTGGAGCCACCTGGCCTTACCAAGTGATGGATGTCCTACTATAAACTGGGGGGAAAGGAGGATTTTCCCTGAATCCATGAGGATTGCAGCACAGCTACAGGGTATTTCCATGTGTTAGTGCCAGTTTGCGTGCTGCTGTCAAACTCTAGTCCTTCCTAAAAACCAAATTAAAAGAAACTTATCAGACCTTTCCAAAAAACTTATCAGACCTTGCCAAAAAAACTTATCAGACCTTGGCAAAAAACTTATCAGACCTTGCCTCCTACATAAAACACCACAATGGGATGAGACAATGAACACAGAAAATGTTGTGGTTTTGCTACATTTTTAATGTGCTTTCCTCAGGGAAAAGGAATTTCTTTTACATTAAACCAATGCATGAGACAGTGTAAAGATACCTGAGCTGCCAATTTTCCCTGGTTTTTCACCATTCCAGTTTTCTCCAGTAAGAAATCCTTCACTGACTCATTACTGAAGAGCAGACATGCCACTTCCACGTGTGCTCCCTGCAAAAACTCTTGCACTTCTACATCCCCCTTTCCCATACTTTGCTCCCTTTCACAATCCTCACCTTTTCTGCCCACATCTTGTGACTCTTTGGTTAAACTCAGGGCTTTTATGTCCCTCACACAAGCTCTTTGTGCTGCTAAAGCTACACCGGGCAGCGACCGCAGCCTTTCACCCACTTGGCCACAGAGCAGAGCCTGTTCTCCTCTCTTTGCTGGGGCTGGTTTGTGTCCCAGGAGCCAAAGAAAACTCGGAACAAGCCCTGCCTGAAGCCTGACAGCCTGGCTGGCTGTGCTGCAGGAGGCTGAGAGCAGCAGGGATTATTTTAGAAGCATCTTTCAATGGCTTGTCATTAAGTTACGGTGCAATTTTCCATGGGAAATATCCAGGCGGGGAATTCTGGGAGCTGATTTTGCTTCTTTGTCCATCTACAGGTAAATTCCAAAATGGACCAACCTCCTTTTCAGCTTATTTCATAGAATCAACATAGAATCCAGGAATGATTTGGGTTGGGAGAGACCTTAAAGCTCATCCCATTCCAACCCCCTGCCATGGGCAGGGACACCTTCCACTATCCCAGGCTGCTTCAAACCCCATCCAATCTGGCCTGGGACACTTCCAGGGATGGGGCAGCCACAGCTGCTCTGGGAAACCTGTGCCAGGGCCTCAGCACCCTCACAGGGAAGGATTTCTTCCTGAGTTGTACATATCCAGGCACACCTACAGGATTAAAATCCCCAAATTCAAAGAACTCAGCGAACTTTTCCCTCATAACAAGCAACAAGTTTCAGATCCACCTTAATGTGGTGTCTGGCCGTAATTTACTCTGATCCTTGTCACAGGGCTATTTTGAACCAAACTAAATAAAACTTGCATGTCTTAGCAAAACATTCCTGACATTTCTGACTTTCCTCGCCCCACACCACAGGCAAAGATTGTCAAACGGGCTGAAGCCATCCTGCAGCATTAACACCAGCCAGAAACAGAGGAAAGCTCTGGCATGGCTTGGCACAAAGCCAAAAAGAAGAGATTTAGATTGGAAGAAATCCTTCCCTGTGAGGGTGTTGAGGCCCTGGCACAGGTTTCCCCGAGAAGCTGTGACTGCCCCATCCCTGGAAGTGTCCAAGGCCAGTTTGGACAGGGCTTGGAGCAGCCTGGGATAGTGGAAAATTTCCCTGTAGATAGCAAGGGATTGGAACTGGATGGTCTTTAATGTCCTCTCCCACCCAAATCCTTCTGTGATTTTACGGTTAACCCTGTGGGTTCCTTCCCCTGCTTAGGCCCTGCTCTGCCACTACACAAAGGATTAATAATCTTCCCACTTATTCATGCAAAATAATCACAGGAAAAGATTCCTATCTTTTCCAGGAAATCTGGGGATCACACCTGCCTGGCCCTGGAAAGGTCCTGTCAGAGGTAATCAAAGCCGCAGGGAAAGAGGTCTGTGTTGTTTTTGTCCTTGCCACACCACACCTTGCGTAACCTAACACAGGAAATGTGTATTATAAAGTGCCCCACGGCAAGGAAAAGATGGCAGAGATGGAATTATCCCACCTGTTAATAAACACATGGCCTGGGGCAGGAGAGCTCAACCAGCTCTGCCTGTGCCACAGGAAAGCTGTGAAGTCTGGCAGCCACCAGCCTGGCAAAAACAGAGCAAAACAATGCAGATTTTGGGCAAAACAGCAATAGCTCCTTTCTGAGCTCAGCAGTGAAGAGTGGGGTGAGAAGTCTGGGGGGGAAAAAGGCAGAAAGGGGAGGAAAAAGCAGGGGGAAAAAAAGTATGGGAAAGAGGGAGAAAAGAAAAAAAAGGTTAAAAAGAGTAAAAAGATTTTTAAAAGAGTAAAAATGGTAAAAAATATTACAAGGAGAGGGAAAGGAGGAAAAAGGGGTGGAAAGAGGGGAAGCAGGAGGAGGGGTGATGGGAAAAAAGAGGAAAAAGGAGTGGAAAGGGAAAAGGCAGGAAGGGAAGAAGGAGGGAAGAGGAGAAGGGAGGAAAAAGGGGGCAAGAGGGAAGAAAAAGGGAAAGAGATGATGAAAGGGGAAAGAGGGAAGACGGGGAAACAGGAGAAAGGGGTAAAGGTGAGAAAAGTGGGAAAGAGGAGAAGGAGGAAAAGGGGGATAAAGGGAGGAAAAAGACGGGAAAGGAGGGAAGTGGGAAAGGTGGGGAAGGGGAGAGGGAGAAAACGGAGGAAGGAGGAGAGGGCAGAAAAGAAAATTAAGAAAAAAAATAAAACAGGGAAAAGGAAGGGGAAAAAAAAAAGAAGGAGAAGGGCAAGAAAAATAACGCGGGAAAAGAAAAAAAAAAATCCGGCAGGGGCAGCTCTTTCCAATAAGAGCCAAAAAATCTCGAGGACACGAAGCTTGGAGCGGGAGGAAGAGGAGGAGGAGGGGGCGAGGGGCTCCCGTCCCCCGGCGGTCCCGGCCCGCAGGCGCTTCGAAAGATCGGGACGGGCCAATGGGCGGGAGCGGGAGGGCGGCGGGACGGCCGGGATTGGCGCTGGGGCTCGGCTGATCCCGCCGGGAGAGCCCCGGCCCCGGGCGGAGGATGCCGGGGAGAGGGGGGAGAGGGCGGCGGGCAGCGGGATGCCGAGCCTGGGGACGGGGGGGGAGGACGCCGGGAGGGAGGAGGATGCCCGGGAGAAAGGATGATGCTGGCAGAGGGAGGGGATGCCGAGGGAGGAGAATGCCCGGGGGGGATGCCCGGGAGAGGGGGGTGCGAGGGGGCGTGTGGGTGGAAGGGGCCGAGCTTGCCTCAAAACACAGGGCTATGTGCGAGGATAAAGTGCATCAGTGCGGGGACAGCCAGCCTAGGGGGCACTTCCGAGCAGGCGGAGAGAAGCAGAAACAAAGAGAAGGGAGGACATGAGCGAAGGCGAAGGGAGGGAGCAGGGGATCAGCTGAGTTCAATCCTGCCAGGAAAAAGCTCTTCCCCTCCGGCTCATCCCCGAGAGGGACAGGTTCTGCCCCCTCCTCTCCCCCTTTGGTCAAGAAGACAAAGAACCGAGTGGCCCCATGGGGAAAGGGGGTGAGCAAGGGGGGGACTCGGGGGAGCCGGCGGCGCAGATCCGCTTCTACACCTGGGAGGAGATCCAGAAGCACAACCTGAGGACGGACAAGTGGCTGGTGATAGAGCGAAAGGTTTACAATGTCACCAAGTGGGCAAACAGGCACCCGGGGGGCCAGCGAGTCATCAGCCACTGCGCCGGAGAAGATGCCACGGTAAGGACCGACCCCCGCGGCTCTCCCGGCTCCGGCAGCGTCCTCTGACAGCTCCTTCCCTCCCCGAGGGCAGCCAGCTGCCTGCTGTCCCCTGTCCCCACCTCCCCAACACCTGCTGGACGCCCGGCTCAGCCCTTTCGCCGCTCCTAGCTCGGTTCAAGCGGATGCAGGTCCCCCCCACCATGGGCTGGTAGGGATTGCTCTGCTTAAATCCCGCTGATTTGCCTTTGTCTGCTGCTTGCGCCGTGCCTCGAGCCCTGAATTCAGGAGCAAAGTGTCCCAAATGTCCCCTTTTCCAGGGAGCAGCCTGTGACATGCAGAGTCACTCAGCCAGGCACAGGGAGGGTTAAACAGAGGCCAGGCTGTGCCTCAAAGTTGCTTCTGTGAGGAGCCTTTAAAACAAGGAGCTTTTTAGCATTTTTTTCCCCAGGAGAAAATTCTCTGGAGAATTTGGTTACAGGTTGCTACAGAAAAAAAAAAGAAAAAAAAAGGCAGCAAACCAGCAAACCAGTTGCTGCTGCTCCAGCTGCTCCTCGCTGGGTTCAGCCACCTCTCAGGTTTCAGTCAACGATAAGAAACCAAACAACAACCAAAAAAAAAAAAACCCAACCTTGAGACAGGAACAAATTAGAAAGAAATTGTTTGTTGTTCCCCTCAAAACCACCTTCCTCAGAAGTGCATCCAGAGAGCATGTTCTCCCTTCAGGGCATGTTAATGAAATCCAAGCAGCCTCAGAGCTCTGAAACGTGCAGAGACCAAACAGGAACAGGAACTGCTGGTCTCCCATGGCTCCTGACGCCTTGGCAAGGAGCAGGCTCCATGTGTGACAAAATTTTTTGGCAGAACCTTCCCTTTCCGTCAGCCCCCATTTCCTTGCATTCTGTGGTAATTTTCTATTCTTTTCCTTGAAGCACTGAGCTGCATTTTGGCCCTTCTGTGCCTTTGCAGTAAATCCTCTGAATGAATAGCTTTCTCCCTCAGAAACATGGGCCAGGTTTTGCGTTCAACTGCTTAAACACAGAGCTGCTGAAACGGGAGGAGTTTGACTTCTATCCCCAAGAATTTAACTCCAGTATCTCCATTAGCAACCAAAAAGCATCTGTTACTGCAGAATCCTTGAAAGGGAGGCTGAAACACAGGTTGGTTGGTGGTTCCAGGATTGCTGGCTCTCCTCCCACCTCCCCAGGCTACATTGCATCCCACACTTCATCAAGGCATGGCCTTAAAAATGCTCTGAAATTGTTAAATCCCCACTCCAAGCACTAAATCAGGACTGGCATCAGTTTTGCAGCTTCCCTGTGGTGAACAACCATTTACAGCCAGAAAACCCTCTCTCATTCAGAGGGAGAACCTTCTGCAGATTTAGATTGGATTTTAGGAGGAAATGCTTCCCTGTGAGGGAGCTGAGGCCCTGGCACAGGTTGTCTGAAGAAGCTGTGACTGCCCCATCCCTGGAAGTGTCCAAGCCAAGCTGGATGGGGTTTGGAGTAACCTGGTCCAGGGAAGGGGACTGGAATGGGATGATTTTTGAAGTCCCTTTCAACCCAAACCATTGCATGGGTCTCTGATTTTTTTTAAACACAACACAACATCTGGGCCAACCTGCTCTGGTGTCACCTCATGCACAGAACACAAAGGGTGGGACACTTTGCAGTGTCCCTGTCCCAGAAGTGTTCAGGGATGTAAAAGAAAATCTTTGTGCTGACTGCTCTAAGCACTCCCAGTGCTCAAGTACAGCTCATATCTCAATTATACAAAGCTCTTTTTTCTCACCAAAGGCAGCTGGAATAATTCCCATATCCCATAAAACACTTAGGCTTATTTGGTCAGTAGATCACAAAGTTGGGAGGTCAAGTGCCAATATCACACAGCATTTCCCAGGGATTATCTTTTCCCTTAAGCTTTTTATCTCCTGCAATACAGAATTGAGAACAATTCCAAAATTCAGTTGCTATCTTATATTTGGGACCTTTTAGTACAGGAGCTTATGAGATAAACATAACAAAAATCTAATCCTTCCATCATTTGAAGGATCTCCAGGCAGTATGCACCCAATCAGACCTCCAAAGATTTTTTATTCCCAGCAGTTAAAATAATCCTGAATCAACATATTTTAATGCTTCTTATGTGTCACCCTCTCTTTTCCCTTTTCTTCCCCTTTTTTTTGTTTTTACCCAAAACTGCAGTAGGCACAGTCAGCTATTCACTTCCCCCCTCATCCTGCTTTTCCTTCCTCTTTCACATCTTCTGCAAATCGTTCCAGAGAGGGAAACCAAGAACCAGAGTCAACATTTCAGTGACCCACTTCTGGGTCCAAGTTTTGATTGATTTTGGTGGACTTTGGGCCCAAGGTTGTTGCCTGGCATTTTTGACCTCCATGTGGAGGACAGCTCCCAGGAGGGTCAGCTGGACACAGGGACCTAGTCTGCCCTTTGTCTTTAGAGCCAGGAGGGAAATACTAGTTGGTCCCTACAATTGTTAGGCACGAAGGTGGAAAGGCTGGAGCACGGTTCCCCTGACTCCTGTTTTTAATGATTTTTGTTTTCCGTACCGTCTTAGCACTTCATGGAACCAATCTTTCCTGTTCTCCCAGGTGAATTCCAAGAACTGACTCCAGTTCTGTGCAGTGAGGAAAGGGCAGGGACAGAGTGAGGGTTTCTGATCTGGGTCAGCTTTCTGTCCCTGCTGCTGTCCTTGGGGTTAAAATTCCAGCTGTGCCATGTGAAAGGATCTGGCCAAGATCTCACTACGAGCATCAGGCACCTGTGGGATACAAGTAGACAGATATATGTGGAAAGGGGAAGGAATAGAGAAAAAGAAGAGCCAGATAAACTCGTGAATGCCAGGATCAAAATGACTCCACGAACAAGGCATTATTCTTCTGAAATGTCACCACTTTTTCCTCAGCAGTTTTACAGCTGAGATCTCCAGGCCTGGCCAAAACACCCAGGAATATTCTTTGTGCTTGCAATCACATCCAGTTTCAGTCACCAGTCAGCCCCTCTCCTGACTTGCCTCCAGGACCAGACTTTCCAAGGGTATTTATATCCTAGGAGGGATTTGCACAAATTCTCCTCTGCCTACCTTCTAAGGGAATTAACAGGATTTAAGTATTTAGTTGCTTAGAAAGAATTTCTCGAGGTGCCTTTCACCATATGGCTGGATGCCATCACCATTCCCAGGCCAGCAAATTCATCAGTGGAATTAATGTCCCAAAAAGTGATCCCAGAGCTGGAGGTCACCTGGCTCCCTTTTCCACAGGTTCCACAACTGCTGGAGGTGGGTGGGAATGACACAGTGAATGGGAAGCACATCTTACTCCTGGATCTCACACAGTTCCTCCTGTTTCCACTCCAGGATGCATTCCAGGCCTTCCACATCAATCCCACCTTGGTGCAGAAGTTTCTCAAGCCGCTGCTTATTGGAGAACTCGCTCCAGGGGAGCCCAGCCAGGACCGAGACAAAAATGTGAGTATTTATTCCTCAGCTGGGGTTCAGTCTGGCTATTCCCACCATTTTTTCCCCTCTTGGGATGCTCTCCAGAGAGAGAGAGAAGTTCTCAGTGACTGAACTGAGAATGTGGAATATTTTCAATCCCATCATGGATTCAAATATGTGTGGAAAGGGGATGACACTTTTGCCTGTACAAACCTTCTCTTTCCCACAGAGCCACCAACAGCCAATTTCTGGCAGCCCATTCCAGGTACCCAGGCTGGACTGAGCCCATCCTGAAGGGAAATGGGAACTGAGACATGTGGAATGGGAAATGTGCACCAGCCCTGGTGACTGTTGTCCCTTCTGCTGCTCCTTTGCTGGTGACCAAGCTCCAAAACACAAGTCCCCAGATGTCCCATTTGGGTGGCCTTGCACAGGAGCAGCAGCCACTGCCCATCCTCAGGGCAGCTCTGTGTCCCTGCTCATCCATTATTCAGGCCCAGAGCATGGCACAACTGGCTCCAGCCGGGAAACTCGATCCTGCCCCATTGTTTGTGGCTGGCCATGATTGTGATAGATCTGTGTCTTTCACAATAGAGGGGACAACGCTGGTCCCCAGTGACCCAGGAATGCCCCTCATGGATGGCTGCACAGGAGCTGGCCCACGGGCTGAACGGATGACGGGTGATAGTGGGTGCTCATTATCAGAGCTCTGGAATTAGGCACAATAGCACTGAATTCCCTCTTGCTCCAGCTTCTCCTTAGTGCTTAGGAAGCTCATCCAGACAAGAGCCATCAGGTGATGACACTCAACAGAACTTGGATGACTCTCCTGGTTCCAGGTCCAAAAGGTCAGGATGTGGGCTCAGACCAGCCAGGATGTTTATTCATAGGAATACAGGGCAAAAAGCTGGAATATAGAGCCAGGGTCCTTGGCATGGAGCTCATCCTTGCTCCATCCATCCCACAACTCAGTCAGGCTCACTTCCAAGCCTCACCCTGCTCTCTCCTGTCCTGTTGCAGTCCCAGCTGGTGGAGGATTTCCGGACCCTGCGGAAGACAGCGGAGGACATGAACCTGTTCCGAGCCAGCCCCTTGTTCTTCTCCTTTTACCTGGGCCACATCATTGTCATGGAAGTTTTGGCTTGGCTCATGATTTCCTACTTTGGGACCGGCTGGATCACAACCCTCATCCTTGCCTGCATCCTTACAACTTCCCAGGTGACAAAGAGAGATCTTCGTGACACTGCCAATGTGCCCTCCATCTCCATTTCTTTCCTGCTTAGCTCTGATTCCCAATAGCTTCCTAACTATTTGGTTTCCCCTCACCCCAGGCCCAGGCAGGGTGGCTGCAACATGATTTTGGACACCTCTCTGTCTTCAAGAAGTCTTCCTGGAACCACATCGTCCACAAGTTTGTCATTGGGCACTTGAAGGTAAAGGGAATTATGGAGCCAGGGAATTCTGGGGATGCATCACTTTGGCTGTGGCAGAGTAGGAAAGGGAGGCTCTCAACCTTCCCAGAGTGAGCAGAAGCACAAAAAAAGTTGGTGACCATTGCCCATGGAGCAACCTGGGCTAGTGGAAGGTGTCCCTGCTCATTGCAGGGCTTGGGACTGGATGAGCTTTAAAGTCCCTTCTAACTCAAAGCATTTCAGGATTTTCTGGGAATACACAGTGACCTGTAAGTCCCTCAGAGTGTGTTTAATCTGTGTTCTTTCAATATGGATGATCCTTAGGGATCCCTCTGCAAGCAGCAGTGTCATAGCAACCAACAACTCCACCACTTCCTGCTTGCTGCACTTTCCAAAGCAAACCCCACCTCGGCCACAATTTGACTCACATCACTTTAGTTCCTATAAATGATTGGAGCAGCTCTCAGTGGGTGAAAACTCCTTGTTCTCCTTGCCCAGGGTGCCTCTGCAAACTGGTGGAACCACCGCCACTTCCAGCACCACGCCAAGCCCAACATCTTCAAGAAGGACCCAGATGTGAACATGCTGCACATTTTTGTCCTGGGAGACACACAGCCCGTTGAGGTAAGGAAAAATGGGGAAAACATGGAAAACTACTGTCCGAGTGGAGAGTGGTTGCACAAATCCAGGAGCTGGCTCCCACTGTTAGACATGACTTACACAGGCAGGACTTCCAGGAATGCTAGAAAGGAAATGCTTAATCCAGGGATTTCGTCTGGCTACGTGGTCTGACAGGAGTTTGGAGCCAACCCTTGGGCTGAGGAGCAGCACTGACTACTAATTCTCAATCCATTTCCTGTGCTGACCACAGGAGAAAGTGTCTTGGGTTACCTCAGGGAAAATAATGCAGATGGGGTTGGAGAGAAAGCAAAAAGCCACTAAAGGCCACTTCATGCTGCTGGCTTGAAGTACCAACATGAGGGGGGAATATGGTGTTCCTCAGTATTCCAGCAGGAGCATTTCAAAACTGACCTTCCATTTCCATAGCAAATATCTTCCAGCATCAAGTGATTTTAATTTTAGTTCAATCCACCCCTCCAGGGCCAAAATATTTACTGCCTGTTTATAAAAACCTACCAAAGCACTTAAATCGTGGTGTTTTTCACAGTGGAACAAGGATTTCTAGTTTTAAAACAAAACTCCAAGAAAATGGACAAGCAGCAAAGACAACACAGGGAAATACAACATTAAAAATGGTTTCTCAGCCAGATTTTGCATTATTGAGAAAGCAGACCATGGTTCTATTACTTAAAGGAAAACCTAAACATTTGTGATAACAAATAAAAACTGCATTTCCGCCTCAAAATATCTGATATTAGGCCAGAATCAGTCTATCCCAATATTCTCTACATTGGTATAAAAATCCTTTTCCAAATGATGCCAAGCCTTGCAGAGCTCAGCCCAGAGGGAATAATGTGCCTGAGTTATTGGTGTTACAAGCCTTCCCTTCCAAAATATCAGACTTTATGCCTATCACATTCATATTAGTAAAAATGGAGGTGCTGGCAGCTCTTCTCAGAGACACAGGGATGGCAGAAGGTGAGGTGCATCAAAATTCCATCAAGTAAATAGAAACTATCTTTAAAAATTGAGTTTACACCTAACACAATGACAAAGTTGGGACATTTAATCACTCCAAATTTCTTCTTACCCGCTTGTGGGAATTGAGTCAAAACTCCCTGGTCAATACATTAAGAATTATTGCAGAGAATCTGCTTTTACCTGGGAATGTTCCAATCCCAGGCTGAGCTGTCTCTTTGTGTCCTGCAGTATGGCAAGAAGAAGTTGAAGTACCTGCCTTACAACCACCAGCACGAGTACTTCTTCCTCAGTGAGTATCCACGCCCCTCTCTTCCCTTTTCCTGGAATGCCACTTGTCCTTTCCAGCCCTCATTGTGTGAGCAGAGCAACTCCTCAAATCCCAACTCATCCCACCCTTCCTCAGGACCCTGTGCAGGTCCCAAAATCAGCTCAGGGATATCCAAGCACCTGAAACATTGCCCCGTACAGCAAGCGAATGTAAAACAGCTGAGGCTGGGAATAACCTCCATGTGAGAGGCTCCATGGAAAAACTGCACATTCCCAGTTCCATGGAAGCAGTCCCTCGTGTCACACACCTTCCCACCCCTCTGATGGCCAAACCATTTCCCTTTGCCTTGCAGTCTTCCCACCTCTGCTCATCCCTGTGTATTTCCAAATCCAAATCATCTCGACCATGATCAAGCGCAGGTTCTGGGCGGTGAGTGAAACATTCCCTCCATCCTTACGGGGTCTGGCTGGAAACTGGGGCAGAGAGGGAGGCCAGCGGGCAGGCAGGAATTACCCAGTGTTCCAAACATCACCAGCAAGGACACGTTATCCAAGATGGGCAAAGTGATGCCTGGTGTTTTCTCTGTCCCTCAGGACCTGGCCTGGGCCATCAGCTACTACCTGCGCTACTTCGTCACCTACATCCCGTTCTACGGCGTCCTGGGATCCCTGTGTCTCCTCACGTTTGTCAGGTAGGGGATCCAGGGCATCCCTGCTGCTCTCCCATCCCTCCAGTGCTGTCTGAGCCTGGCCTCAGCTCTGCTGTGTCCCACTGCATCACTTCCCTGTCAGCATCTCTGAGTTCCAGCACCTCTGGCACTCGCCCTGCCCCTTCTCCTGCCCGTGATGGTCCTGCCAGGATTCCCCTGCCTTTCCTCATTCCCTGCTCTCACACACTGCTGATCCCACTTTGGGCATGGCTGGACCCTCCCAGAGTGCCTCATCCCCCCTCTGCCCAGCAGACTGTGGAGGTAATTCTGTGCATGCACCAAGTCTGAAATCAAGCTGGAAAACTTACCACAATCAGCCCATTATTCTCAAAATATTTGAAGAAACTCAAAGTGCAAGGAAAAAAAAAAAAAGCGAAATTGCAAAATTGGATCATCTGCTTTTGCAGAAAACAAGCCTGGAACAAAGATGATTCCAGGCAATCCCTTGTCAACATCCATCCAAGTCTCTGCTGCTCCCTGCAAACCCCACTTTAACTACCTGATGTCCCCACATCTGGTAGAAATTCTCATGATTTTTCCTGGTTTTGCAGGTTTCTGGAGAGTCACTGGTTCGTGTGGGTTACCCAGATGAATCACATTCCAATGGAAATTGATTCTGAGAAGCACAGAGACTGGCTGAGCTCCCAGGTAACTGGAGGGGAGAAAACCACCCCTGACTCACCCCAAAATGGGATTTTCTCAAAGAATGTGAGAGTTACCACCACCCCCAGTGTTACCACCACCCCTTACTAGAACAGAGTTGTCCTGTCCATGACTTCTCCCATAAAGATGTTCCTCCCAGAGCCAGCAGTGCTGGGGAAAGACATGGAATTCCAAAATTCTGCAATTCCTTTGACAATCAAAAGGTTACCTGTTCCTGGGGTGAGTGAAGCTGGATGTGACTGCAAATCAAAAAAAACATTCATGCATGTTTTGGCCAGGCCTGTAGATCCCAGCAATAAAACAGCTGAGGAAAAAATGTTGACTCTTCATTTTGGAGCCTGCCTTTGTCCTTTTGGTCTGGCAGATGAATGGTTGAGTTCTCCCTTTCCTCTTCTTTATTCTAGAACCATAATCTTGATATTTTGGCAGTTCTATCTCCCTGCAAATCCAAGTAAAATGTGTGAGGGAGGAACCCTATCAAAAATTTGGTTGAATTTTAAGACTATTAAGAAAATATATCTAATTTTATGATCATTAATGGCAAGAACACCTAAGAAATATTCTCAGAATATCACACTTCAGGCAAATTGAGCAATAACAACACGAGAATGGAGAAGCTTTGTGTCCATGTTCCTCCTGTTTTCCACCTTGGTACTGCTGTCAACCCTGTGATCTCCAGTGGGAGAGGCTGACATTTAGGATTGTGGCCTTGGCTACATCACCACCAGTGAGAGTTTGATTACCTGAGGCCCTGAGGAAGGATTAAAACCCCTTGCTGCACCCAGCCACGGCAGACTCTGCACTCCCAGAGTTCAGGGAAGAGGAATTTCACCCTGATTTTGGGATGAGCCATCCCTAACCCTCATAGCTCTCTCTCTCCCTGGCAGATGGCAGCAACCTGCAACATTGAGCAGTCCTTTTTCAACGACTGGTTCACCGGGCACCTGAACTTCCAGATCGAGCACCAGTGAGTACAGAGCCAGGACAGTGTGGGCACTGCCAGCTTGTCACAGCCCAGGGGAGGGAATTATGAGCTGGGGAAGGATTGTATGCCCAGGAGACACAGTCCCAGACTACACAGCATGGAAGATGTGGCTGCCCCATCCCTGGAAGTGCTCAAGTCCAGGCTGGATGAGGCTTGGAGCAACCTGCATTAGTGGAAGGTGACCCTGCCCGTGGTGGGGCAGGAACTGAATGAGCTTTAAGATCCTTTCCCACCCAAACCATTCCATGATAGTGTGCTTCTCTTACAGCTATGACATTTTTCTCTCTCGCTTCAAAGCTTTCACTCTCACAGCCTTAATTTAGGATTTAATTAGGAGTTGTTATGCATCTACCAGTTGCAAAGGCTGTGGGCTCAAACCCCAAGCATCCACCTCAGAAAACTCCTCTCCCTTAAGGCATTCCAGTGTTTTATAGAGTGTGGGACTGTGTAGGATGCTGGATACCAGATTCCAGAAAAAAAAATGGAAAACAGGGCCATATGGACAGTCTGTTGCCAATGGCAACAGCAAATGTAAAAGAAATGGCTTTTAGGGTGAGGCTGGCTGGTTTGGGAGTCAGCTTAGGAAATCTCCATGGAAGAGCATAGGGCAAGGTGCCCCCAAAATCCTTCTTTACCTGCTTCCAGAAGTGGAAAAGCAGGTCACTGGGAATTCAGTTCAGCAAGAAACAATTTTTCCCATAGGAATGGGTGGCCATCTCTGAGACTGTTCCCTCACTCCTCCTGCCCTCTCATTGCAGTCGTGTCCCTTCTTGCACAAACTGGCTTTCAGTGTGTCCTGAGCACGACTTTGCTTTGAGGCAGGACAGGAAAATCAGTTTTCACCACCTCCTTGAGACAGAGGAGTGTAAAGCCGGGGTGCCTCTGTGCCTCCCTTCCTTTGTTTGTGCAGTTTGAGGAAGAGGCACTATCGATGAGCCCCTGAGGATGCAATCCCTAATGCCCATCCCTTGTCGCTTGTCTCGAGAGTTTTCTCAGCTTTGTTTTCTCTCTCTCCCCTCCAGCCTGTTTCCAACAATGCCACGGCACAACTTCTGGAAGGTGAAGCCTTTGGTGAAGTCATTATGTGCCAAGTATGGAGTCCACTATGAGGAGAAGCCTCTTGGGAAAGCATTCGTAGACATCGTTGGGTAAGGCCCTTCTGAGCCCACCTGCAGCTCATTTTTTCCAGGGAGACCTGATATTTTCTAGCACAGAGGACCCAGGACATGGCAGACTCTTCAGAAATTTGTGTTGTTGCTGTCAAAGCAACAAACACTTGACCTTTACACAGGTACAAACCTGATCATGGCATTTGGGGACATGGTGGCTCAGCAGTGCTGGGGTTGGTCTTAGAGGGCTTTTCCAACCCTAATGATTCTGATTTTTATCAGAAATACATACCAGCCTGTTCTGACAGCTGGTGGCTCCTGCTGTTGGGAGTTGCCAGCAGATCTCCTGCTGTAAAGTGAGATGAATCAAAGGGAAACGAGTCAGGTTACAGCCCCTGCTGTGTCCCCTGAGAGCTCTGCCAGCAGCAACAGGCAATTCCCTACAGGCAGAGCTGGAGAGGATCTAGCAGTACTTGTCAGCAGCCTCGGTGTTAATGCTGCTGTCTCAGTTCCTCTGAGGGGAATAATTCATGGCAGGGAACATGAGAAAGCTCTGCAGTCCAGGCACCTTCTGCACAAAGCACTCTGAGCATGGACAGATTGAAGTGCGGTGACCACAGTGGGCAGGAGAGCTGGTTCCAAACCTGCTTTTGTCCCCAAATCCGGGTAGGACAGGGCCACAAAGCAGCAAGGCACAGTGGAGCGAAGCCTGGAGGCTCCCAGGAGAATTTACAGCCCCCCTTCCAGTGCCTAAAAAGGCTCCAAAGGAGCTGGAGAGGGACTTTGGGCACAGGTCTGGAGTGACAGACCAGGGAGAATGGCTTCCCACTGACAGAGAGTGTGATCTGTGATTGATACTAAATTCAGTAACAGCCTTCACTGCAGGAAAAACATGACAGAAGCAAGATTCCCAAGCTTCTCCTTTTCTTCCCACAGGTCCCTAAAGAAATCTGGAGATCTCTGGCTGGATGCTTATCTCCATAAGTGATCATGAATCTTTCTGGGGAGGTGTGAGTGACCGGGAGGGATGGGGGGATGTGGGGGGGTTCACACTTGTGTCTTTTACTCTCAGATCTCAATCTAAATCCAGGGTTGGAGGGGAGTTTCCTGTCTTGCCAGCTGCTTCTGGTGCAGGCCCTGTTCAATCCAGACAGATTTAAAATGTGCTCCAGAGGGTGGAAAGCAAGGCCAGCAGTGCAAATGTTTAAAAAAGGGGCATTCATATCTGACCTTGACCTACTTTTCACAAGATTCGTTCTCATTCTGCCTAAACCACACAAACCCTGATTCACACCTAAGGGGTTTTAGGCCTCATTGAGTGTTTGCAATCCAAGGACATCCCAGTCAGCTCATGCCTCTTTCCCATGTTTGTGTGGAAGAGGAATCACATCCCACGGGACTGGCAGCTGCTGGACTGTGCTTCCAGCCCTGTCCAGAGCCCAGCTCCCTCCTTTCCCTGCCTCCTCCCCTTTTCTAACCACAGAATCCCTTTAGTGCAAGCTGTGACCCTGGCCCTGCACAGCTAACCCCTAACCACAGCAGGGTTAACATAGCCATGTTTTTAGGATCAGCCCCTCTACCCAGGGGTCTGTAGAAGATGGGTTTAAAGAGCAAAATGTCTCCTTTAGGAGAGGGTCTGTTTTCTCTTAATGAGCAGCAGGTCTGGCACAGCTAATGGAATTGTCAGGAAATCACACAAAATCAAAACAATCACACAAGCAAAACGTGCTAATTGCTCCTCAGTGCTCCAAGGGAACTACAAATGGCCTTTTCAGCATCCTGCCCTGCAGAAACCCAGAGTTCTGCCTGTCTGCACATGCGTGGCAGCACCGAGCTTCTTCCTGCCTACCCGAGGCCAGGAGCCATGGCACTGTTCACCCTTCCCCTGGGAACAATCACAGGAGAAAAGGAGTTCTCCCTGCACAAGGAGGAGCTGCTCAAATCCCAGCTGGAATCAGCCCTGCTCAGGCTGTGCTGCTGCTGTGAGACCTTTGGAGAACCCTCTTACAAGCTGTCTAAAACTCCATTTTCTGCCCAGCACCTAATTACCAAAATTCACTAATGGTTTATCAGGAGATATGGTTGGACAGCTTCCAGGTGCTTCTGGAACAGGTGACCTGACCCCAAATAAATCCAGGGGTTCAGGTTCAGCTGCAACACAACAGAAGAGATATTTGGGTTAGGACAAAGGGCCATGGTTCCAAAAGCAGCCTCCAGCTCCAGCCTCAGTGCTCCCAGGAATCACCAGGAGGGAGACTCTGGTTACTTTGCACGCCTCATTACTTCCCTCAGCTCTGAAACTGGATCCTCTCTGTCAAATCCCTGAATCCTTTTGCATTCCACAGAATCAGCAAGGTGCTTCATCATGAATAGAGACTACTCTGGGACTGTGGCCAGCGTTGCAAAAAAAAAAAAAAAAAGTATTCCCTCCCCACCCTCTTTGGAAAATAAAATGAGATTTTATCTTTGATTACAGTGGGGAATTCAGCATCTTGCAACTTCAGTAAGCAATGCTTAGCGTTTGTAAAGGGCTTGTTCTGGGGGTCTTGCTCACCCAAGTACCACCAGGAATGTTTAGGGTGAAAAGCTGCATAAGTAACATCCTTCTGGATGCTGTGATTTCCCAGGCAGGTAGTGAGGAGCTCTCCTGGAATTTGGCTAACCTCATGAGGACTGCCTTAATTTGTGCATCCCTTCCTAGAATGTACCTCACTGTGCTCCAGCAAGGATGACCATGAGAACAGAGGCATCAGCAGTGCAAGCTTTTAAATATTCAGCTTCTTCTGACAGCCCTTGGGTTTTTTTGGGTTTTTTTTGTCTTATTTCCAGAGCAAATATTTTCTTCCTTAGCTCTGCCCCCTTCTTTTCACTTTTCTTCTTGGGAAGCTGTTTGGGTTGATCTTGGGGAAAGATCAGCTGTTAGGCAAATGGGCTTTATTTTTCCCCCCAAAAAACTTACTATTTTTTCAGGCAAAGCCTCTCTGGCTCATATAGCTTTTTCCTCTTCTTCCAAAAAAAATCTCAGCTTTCTCCCTTGGAATTTGAGCTGGTTTTTATGTGCCTTGATTCCTTGTTGACACCCCATCCCTGCAAGTGTTACAGGCCAGGTTGGATGAGGTTTGGAGCAACTTGGTCTAGGGAAGGTGTCCCTGTCCGTGGCAGGAGGGTGGAATTGGATGATCTTTATTGCCCCTTCCAATCCAAACCATTCCAGGATTCTACAAGCTCTCCCCTCTTTAACTGGAGCAGGTCAAAGAGATCCCTGACAAAGAGCCCTGGAAGTCTGGATCAATCTGCTTTGTTATCATTGTTCTCCAAGTAAAATTAGGTTTATCTGGAGATGTTCCAGAAGTTTCACTAAGACTGGAAATGTAGATGGATACAAACTTCCCATGAGCTTTGTCTCCAACAAGGGAGCAATGAGTGAGACATGAGCAGGTTAAAATCTGCCATCAAAATGACTGAAACACAGAATTTTCAGCACAGCTTTGCCCAGCTTTCTGAGGACTCTTAACTAACCTGAAAATAATGAGGTGAAATCTTGTCCACTTTCTCTCTTGATAAAGGTCATTCATTTGCACTGTAATGAGACACAAACATGAAAAAAAAACCAAAAACCAAACCTAAGCCAGTAAGAGGTGCTGGAAGCCTGCCAGGGTTTACTGAACCCAGCTACACCACATGGCAATGGGGAGCTGGAAACACAGAGCTGGTTTCAGGGCAGAGAATCAAACAACAGCCAGGGAAGGAGTGGATTTGCTCTCCCCACTCACTGTGGGGGACTGGAGTAGGAGCTGGAGGACCAGGATGATCGAGGATGCCAGAGAAAAGCACAAACTGCAGCAAAGAGAAGCCTCTGGGTGTGTTTTGGGAGGAGAATGAGAGATGGGAGAAGTTTGGGAAGGTCAGGGGTTGGGGAGGGATGCATGAGAGTGGGAGAAAAAATACTGAGGGATGAAGGAGGAGAAATTTGGAATCAGGTGTCCCATGATCTCACAGCATGGCTGGAATCTGCCTGGAGGGCTGTGCTGGAGACACAGGGCAGGACAGGGCAGAGCTGGGGCTCAGAGGGGGTGGCAGGGACTGGTGACATCCACAGGCACCTCAGAGTGAGCTGGATCTCACACTGAGCCCCCCTCCCACAGCTCTGGGAGCAGGGACTCACTGCCCTCAGCTTCCAGGGAGAGGCACAGTGGGAATTAGGGAACTTTCCTTGGAGTTTTCCCTCCAAGCATGGATTTGAGGAGTCTAGATCCCAGCTGCTCACTGAAATAGGGCTTGGGAGGCTTGTCAGGACCCATGTCCAAACACCATCATTCCCTGCTGCAGGGGCTGAGCTCTCTGGCTGGATTTGAGGTCTTCGTTAGGGCAAAGACATCCTTTTCCTCAGTAGATGCCTTCCTAAGAAAGCCTTCCTAACAAAGCCCTAACATTTCCAATGTTAAATCAGCAAACCCACATTCTTTATAGGACAGCTCCTGGTTTTTCTTAATTTTTTGGGAAAAAAAATCCAGTAACTCAAAAAGAACAATTTTTTTTCCTTGTGTATTCTACCACTCAATAAAATCATAACTATTTGTTGACCATACAGATGTTTTATGTGGCTTTTTTTTTCCAGAACCACTGGTGCTCAGGGAATTTTTTCCCTCTTGGAGTGCCTTCTGCCATACAAACCCACAAGCAGGTGGCATGGAGATGCCAACTGAGCAAGTCAGGACATTTCTAGGGTGGGAATGTCACAACCCAGGTTTTGCTCTGAGATCAAAAACATGTTCAAATTCAGAATTGTAATGAGTCAGGGTAGGTATTTGACATAAAGGGTGATTCAAGCTCCCGTTTCAGATTTAGCCTTGTAACTGTTTTTGGTTTTTTTTTTTTTTTTTAGCAGTTCAAAACCAGATCCCAAGCCAAGAACACTGTGGAAGCAAACTAAAAAAGGACCTGGGATCAGACTGCTTATTATGGCCTCCCTTGTTTTTCCTGGGGCTTTTTATGGAGGAGCTGTTAGCCAGTGAGAGTGGAACATCCTTTTTCCACTTCACGTGGTGAAATTAGTGGAATTACTTTGATACCATTGACTTTAATAGCACAGATGGATTTCTTTATTAGCCTTCACAATTTCATGATCAATGCTGCTGCTTCCCCTCATCCTGGGAACAAACACCAAAGGAAAGGAGACTTTCCTGTCGAAGATTTGCCTGGCCACTCAAACTCAGCCTCCAGACTGTCTGAGGAAGCAGCTGAGAACAAAATTGCTGTGAAAACTTCATAGAAGCATATTAAAGTGTTCTTACAGTCCATTTTGTGCCCATTCATGGCTCATCCTGGGGTGTGCTGAGCACCTTGCAGCAGCTTTTCCAACCCACAGCTCCATTCGATGCTCTGGTGGGTTTTGGGTCAACAGCAGCAGTAGATTTTAGGTCAAAAGTGTTTTGAGGTCAGCCCAGAGGCTTTAACAGAGCTGGTTCTGCCAGGTGATCCCATTGAAGCATGTCCCATCAGGTGAAGGGGCAGACAAAGGGAACTCACAGGCTCTCCAGGGCCAGGAGACAAAGTGATGGCCAGATTATCCTTATCTGTCCCCTAAAACCAACACTGGAGCTTGCCAGAGTCCAAAGGAATTGCTCCATAGGCAAACTCATCCTGCCCAACAGCAGGTGCCGTGAGCTGTCACAAAACACAAAGCAGAAAATGACCCAAATTTTAGGGCTTTCATTTCATCCCAGAACAAACAGCTTCCCCTAATGCAAATACAGGTGGCTCTTACACAAAAATTAACTGTTACAAATCAATAACTTCATCCATGAACAATATTGCTTTTTAAAAAAATCATGTTTTACTTACTCTGCAGGGGCCCAGTTCTAGAGGCTTCAGGAAACTTCTTCACAGCATAATTTGTGTGTGGCATCAGCATGGGGAGAAACAGCTTCATGGTGTTCAGATGTACAGTTTTTAACCCCTCCAAGCAGGTCTTGAACACTTCCAGGGATGGGGCAGCCACATTTGTGAGCTTCCTTCTTGCAACAGGTTTTTAAAACTCTATTAAAAAAAACAAACCAAAAACAAACAAACAAAAAACTCAATGAAACAACAACAAACCAGTAAGCTCAGCCTCTGAAAAAACCCTCAATTTTTTTCCAGTGTTTGTGCTGGGTTATATCATGTTATCATATATATTCTATTGAAAAATTAGCCTAAATTCCTCAAATATCACATAGAAGCACTTCCATATTGAGTCTTCCCCACACCATCCCTCTGTCCTGGAGTTTCCATAGAACAGGGGATTATTTCAGCTGCTGTAAGGTGATATTTTTTTCACATTTCCAGCCACACACTTATCCATTTGGAAACCATGATGTAAAGAGTATGAAGGGAATAATCCAGAATTCCAGAGTGAGCCAGGAGGTGAATAATTCCCCGACAGCAGAACATAAAAGATAATAAGTATAAATTATATAAATAATTATTTACATACTATAAATAAAAATACATATGTTATCTACCCTCCACAGAGGTTGGAGGGTACAAACGTAACTTTCACTGGGGTGAATGAAGATGATGTGTTCTAACATACCCTGTGTCAGAGCTTTTCCACCTTCTGCCAACCTCTGAGGTTTGAAGGCCAAGCCCAGGCTGCTCAGGTCAAGGGAGGCTCAGCAGAAATTGAAGAAAGGAGTGGGAAAAGGCCAAGCAGAAGGATCCTCACCTGGAAGCACCACCTTCGCCTGCAGCATCCTCCTGAGCACAGTTAGGTAACTCCCCAACTTCTTGGCCAGGTACTGGCTGTGGGGCTGACAATGAGAGGATTAATCACAGTAATTGCCCATGATTGCACCCATCCTCCTCAGAATGGGTGTGGCTGGTTCACTTGCCTGATTAATTTAATTGGCCTCAGTTGGCCTGGCCTTAAGCAGCAGTTGGTTTTTCTATAAAATATACGAGCCATATTGCACTTTCTCTGTGTGTTTTGTTCCCTTATTGCTGACAGATGCCTAATAAAACCCAGAAGTCTGGGTTCTGAGCTGAAGATGTTGCTGGTTTCTCAGCTGGGGCCAGTTCCTGGTCCAGCATCTCCAGGTCAATCACTCCGAGCTGAAATTATCACCCTTTGCCAAGCCACAAACCTTTAGGCCACAGTCACAACCCCAAATGGAGCAAAGCAGCACAGCCTGTGCTTCACCATCACCCTGGGTGGGGGAGAAATAAAGTGTGACCAGGAATCAAAGTGCTGCTGCCAATTCCAATTCCATGCCTTGCTCATTCTTGTCTCCCCATCATGCTGGAGTGCACTGAGTCTAAAACTGAGCACCTGATTTGGTGAAGGTATGCGAGTGAAACGGAGTCCAACAGCACTAGAGGGCAAGGAATGGTGGAGCCACGGTGCTCCAGCAGCATTCCAGCACCATGACTCCTCCACATCCCTGCAGAAAATCAACAGCTCCACAGAAACAGGATGTCTGGGCTTGAATGGTGCAGCAGGAGCTCCTGGGCAAGTCAGGAGCTGGATGATTTTTAGAGATCCCTTCAAGCCTGAACCATTCCCTGGGAACGTTTCTGTCTGCATAGAATAAAATAAAGAATTAAAAGCAAAAAGACGTTGAGCCTGCTCTGCCCCATGATGCACAAATGAATCAAACACAAAACAGAGGACAGAGATTAAGAAGCAATTTCCTTTCTGCAACGTCTCTCTAAACAGAGAGGAACAGTTTTAAAGATCTCTATTGAAATATTTAGTAAATGGTTTCAGAGAAGCTCTCTTGGATGTGGTAGTGTTGGCACAGGGATGAGTCCCATGTGCTGCAGTAACAGAGAGGGTTTAACTCATTTGTGGTTTTGAATGTGTAAAGCAAGGCTTTTAAAACCAGCACAGTGAGGAGAAAGTAGCGACGCCCAACTGCTGACAACAGAAAAATGGTTTTTTGGGTTTCCACAACTCAGTTGGTTCAGGCATACTCAAACACAGCCCATGAGGTCTCCTCCCCATACACATCATTCCGGTGTGAAATTAATCAGATTTGGAACCCAGTTTCCCTCTCCTATTAAGGACTAATGTCTGCCAGAGCTGCCCAGATTTTGGGGTGAATGCAAAACTTGCCTTGTCTGAAAGCACTGTGGGACCATGAGACACTGCTCCACCTTTCCTGAGACATTATTTATCACTGCCCTCAGTTTGATGGAAAGTTGGATTGGTGCTTCCCTCCTTCCTTCTGGTTTTGCCAGATGGCACAGGTGGCCTGACAAAGGGGAAGGTCACCAAAGGCAAGGGACAAGTCACCTCTGTCCAGGTGCTGATGCAGAAAGAGCAAAGGTGTAACTGAGCTGTGACCCACGTAAGTGTCCTTTGGCATGAAGCACCTTAAATTGACTCTAAGGTGATTAACAGAGCAGAATTAGCACAGTGAGCCAGGGGAATTAAGGGCAGGGAGCTGTCCTTGAGCCAATTCCATGGCTACATCTGCCAGAGGGAGGCCTGCAGTCCCAGAACCAGAGAGGGAGCAGAAACCAGAAGCATTAGCAGAGTTAAAAGCTCAGGATGTTCTGTGTGCCCACACGGATATCCCTGGAAGCTCTGTGAACAGCACAGGACTGAGTGCTGGGGTTTGCACTGCAAAGCTTCCTGGGGAACACCTCCACCTTCAGCTTCTTTCTCCCAGCTCCCCTCTCTGGCACAGTCCCATGGGGAGCTGTTTTGGGATTGTACTCCTGCACAAATGGCTTTTCCATCACTGGAGTGACTTGTAAATAACCAGATTTCTATCAGTGGCTCAGCTTTTCCTGTGCAGCCATGTTTTCTCCTGCAAGGGGAACAATTTCAAGATTAAGCCAAACAAAATCTAAGGAGTGCCTCTTCTTTCCTAAACCTTCCCTGCTGTCCCTCTGCTCCATCACTCCAGCCAGTGCTATCTCATCTCCTGAGCCAGGACACCACTGGCAGCTCAGATCTATCACAGAATCCCAGAATGGTTTGGGTTGGAAGGGATCTCAAAGCCCATTTCATTCCAAACCCCTGCCATGAGCAGGGACAGCTTCCACTATCCCAGGCTGCTCCAAGCCCCATCCAACCTGGCCTTGGACACTTCCAGGGATCCAGGGGCAGCCACAGCTTCTCTGGGCAACCTGTGCCAGGGCCTCAGCACCCTCACAGGGAAGGATTTCTTCCTGTATCTCATCCAAATCTACCCTCCTTCATCTTAAGGCCATTCCAAAGCCATTTCCCCTTCTTCCCATCACATCCAGCCCACAACTAGGCTGAGTCTCATTTTCTCTATGTTCCCATTCCCTCCTAATCCACTCCCAAAGGAGCTGAAACATTCTCTGGAAGTTATATAAACCAGCACAAAGTCCAGCTGCCTTCTCAGCCTGGCTAAAGTCAACTTTCCAGCTGAGCCCAGTGAGCCTTGCACAAACATAGGAATATTGACATGATAAACAGCAAATCTGACCCCTTGGCTCCCAGCACTGGTGGCACCACAGGGATTTGCTCCTATTAGGAACGGGTTGCCTTGGCGGAGCTGGCCAGCCCCAGCCGTGGGTGCCACGTGCACACTGAGAGTTGTGCCAGGACATCTGACTTTTTCCTGGCAGGGCCACACTCCCTGAATGTCCGAAATGACTGGAATTTCCCCATGGCTGGCCCAGAGCTGCCTGTTCTGCAGGGAATCCTCTCTGCTTTGATGGATTCATCCTACAGGAAGGTCAGGAAAGCATGGGAAGTCCTGACTTTTCCGAGGCCAGCTGCTTGTCTTCTGTCTTTTCTTTGATTGCACCTGAAGCAAATAATAAAAAAATTAAAATCTTTCATTTGTTGGTTCCTGGGAACAGGAACCATCCATCTCTGTGTGTGGGCGTGTGGGGACAGCCTGACCAGCTGCACAAAGACAGCCTGATTTACAGCCCTGAGCAAACTTGGAGTAATTCCACAGGCAGGGAAAGGATGCAGCCAGCAGACACAGAGAACTTCCAGGGAAAACCAAATCTCTGCGGTCTAAATCCCAGTTTCCCAAATACTAATATCCAAATGCTTAGAAGCACCTCACTGTGCACAACACTAACCTCCACCATCATCCAAATATCCCTTTTGTCTCCCAAACTTGAGGGAAACAGGAATGAAAACAAAATCAAGCAAGTCAAACACACCTATAAAAGCAGATTTTTTGGCTCCCATCCCTTGAAGCTCTTTATTTCAGCCCAAGACAGGCTGGCAAACCCTTTGTGGGTGCAAATAGGTGCAAGGAAGATTGCAGAAGGTACCAGAGGACCCAGAGACTCTGCTCAAATCGTGGTTGATTTATGAGGGGAAAAAGAGCAGGGAAGTTTTGGTGGAAAAGGCTGGGAATAGGGGACATGATGTCTTCTCATACCTTAGAAGCTTAGGTGCTAATGTCACAGGGAAGTTTCTGACAGCAATCCCTGCTGACATTCCACTGAAAGATCCAGACACAGGAAAGCATTCCCAGTGTCTCACCTGACCATCCCATACAGAAATCCAAATCTTTCCTTTCCTTTCTCCAGCTGCCCAATTCCCTCCCAGCAGCACAGGGAAGCTGCAGGGAGGGTCAGGAGGGGTGGGTCCTGGAGATACTCCATTCTCCCAGGGAGGGAGGACAGTCCTTGCCTGGGCTGCCTGTGCCCTCTCGTGGCTGCCTGACTGTGCTGCACAACCAGATTCTTGCGTGGCTTTTTAATTGAAAATTAAATTAAATCCCTTTCTGCACACAGCGCTCCCATTGTCATCTCCCAGAGGGCATGAGGAGATCTTCCATGTCAATGTGCAGAGCCGAGCAGGGAGGAGAGCAAAAGGTTTTAGTGAAACTAGAGCAACCCAAAACCTCTGCCTGCTGAGAGGAGGAGACTGATCAGGAAGAAGGAAGGAAGAAGATCCTCCAATTACCCAGCACCCGTGCAGTGCTTCAAGCCAGCAATTTAAAGGAGACAAACCTCCAGGAGCAGGAGAAGCCTCAGCTTCCCCCAGGAAGAACAGGTACCTGCTCGGCTAGCACCCCAAACCCCATCCTGTAGGCTTTTCTCTTGCACCCCAAGCACCCCAACCCTCCAACTCCAACCAGGCTTGTAGAGGTTAATAGCAAATGTTTATTTTCCTTTATGAAAGAGCAGGGTGCAACCATCCCACTGCTAACGGAGTGACTTCATTTTCCTTCACAAATTGTTCTCTGCTTTGAAATGCAAGACAACCTCAGACAAGGCATTGCTCCAGTTCCTTCTGTCTCAAAGTGCTTTTCAATGTGACACCAAGGGGGAAAAAATATCCCACAAACCAAAACATCTCCTAGCCAGGGAGATCATCTCATTCCCACTGCTGCAACATTTTTGTGCAGTGTAGCAGCCCACAGCACAGGAAGACATGGAAAGATAGAAAGGCTGGGGGAAGAGATGCAGGGAGAAATTCCAGGGGTGGAATTCACCTGAACTGAAATCCACAGCTGGGAAAACCAAAGCCGTGTTATTTCTCTCTCCCCTAGATAAAATCCAGCAGCTCAGTGGAAGAAAATCAAGTTCCTACTGTAATATCCTTCAGGAAAGGATGGAATAATGGAGCTGAGGATGGGCACCAGCTTGCTGAGGGTGGCAGAGGGACAGGGTGACAACCCTGTCAGAAATGGAAACCCCAGAGTGGGTGATGGCTGAGCTGATTCCAGAGTCACTGAAAAAAGGCTACAAAATACTGTCATGGCTTTAATCAACCTGGGTCTGGGCTCAGGATGTGTCAGGCCTGTGCATCCCTACAGCTCCAGTGACATGCCTCCCTCCCAGCACATTTTGAGGCAGGCAGGAACCTCAGCCACATTCCTCATGTGCACACAAAGAGGTCTCAGATTCCCTCACCAGGGAATGGCAGCCCAGGAAAAGTTGTGATTCCCAGTGGACAGGCATCTCCAGGTCTGATGTAACACTGGGAAGGAATCTCTGGGCCTTGGGGCTGCCCATCCTGGGCATGCTCCTCCTGGAGACACAAAGAACCCAACCTGGGGCAAGAGTTCTGCCTGAAGACTGGGAACAGGACTGCCCAAAGCCCCCTCAAGAGCAGGAACAGCTCCAAGTCTTGTTTGTGGGTGAGGTTTGTGTTTAGGAGCATCATGAGGGACTGTCACAGGGTCCTGCATCTGCCTCTGACTACTCCAGCAGATTCTCTAGTCCAGGGGAAAAAATCCTGCAGCTTGCAGGGAGCTAGGGAATTTCCCTGCTCCCTTTCTTCTGCTGGAGGCCCCAGGTGCACAGCTCCAGCCATTCCCCAGCCTGCACAACCTAGTGCCAAACATGCAGCTAAAAACAGGAACAAATCCCTCTTTGTGACTCTGCTGGCAACAAGATTCTCTCACAGGCTCCTTGAAAAGGAACAAGGAAGTACTTGGAAACAAACTGTCCAAGATTATTGTGCTCTGCTGGCATTTTCAGGGCTGCTGTGGTCAGCAGGACCTCAGGGACAGCACCCCCTCCATCCCAAAAAAACGAGTGGAACAGACAGCCAGCATCTGTCCTGACAGGCTGGCTCACAAGGAAGGTCCAGAATTCCCACCCTGCACAGGCCTGGCCCCGGGTTATGCCAAAGCAGGCTGCATATAAAAACAAAAGGTTAAAAAAATGGATATACACTGCATATAGGAGACTCCAGAGTCTATGGATGGCCATCCTGGAGCAGCCAGGGCCAGCCCAGCTCCAGGGGCAGCGTGGCAGCTGCATTCCAGTCACACTTGGAGGAGTGGGACAGCTGAAGGTGAAACTTGTGCCTCTTGTTCCTTGCTCCAGGCAGAGGGAAGGGAGGGAGCAGGACAGGCACTGCACTCCAAGCCCTTCCTCCAGGAGCAGTTTCCTCCATGCTCAGGGCTCTGCTTACATCTCGCTGGGATAAAATCCAAGTTTGGCCAGAGACATCTCCCTCCGGAGCCGCATGACCTCCCAGTACATCAGCTCCACTGCAAAGCACAACGAGGGCAGAGAAGGAGGAAAAAACACCAAAAAATCAGTAAGGAGGGCACAGCTGTCACCAGCTCCTGTTCTGCTGTGCTGCCAGCATTCCCAGAGTGGAGGGAAGCAGCACAGGCCCATCAGGTCACCCCTTACCAGCTCCACCCCTAAGCAAAACTCCCAGGAAGCTGATAAGGAAGGAAGAGATGCTCCCCTCACACCTCTCTTTTGTCATTTATCTGCTTCTCAGAGACACCCCCAGCCAACCCCACTCCTGACACTCCAAATAGCTCCTCCCAATTCCTCCCGGTTGCCTCCACAGAAAGCATCCCCCCGGAGCCAGCTCTTACCATCCTGCCTCACCAGGCCTTGCTGGATATAGCGGATGTAAGTGAAGAAGTTGCACACTGCTGTGATCTGGGTGACAGAGGAAAAGAAGGGGGGAAAAAAGGAACAAAGATTTTAGACATTATTTTGGTGCAAGTAATGAAAATTAGTCAAACCCGTGCACAAAAACCAACTTTTTGTGGGATCAGCTCTTCAAAAATGCAGCTCAGGAAAGAATTAACTTCTAAAATCCTCCACTGAACAAGAGCCCCAACAGCAACATTAACAAATGATCCACCTTCTCCCTGCCCTCCACAGAAAGGACAGTTTGTTCCCACAGCCAGGCACGGATCAGACTGGAACAGCAACAGCCTCCAAAGAGCAGAAAATCATTGTGTTTTACAAAGGGGAATTAAATAATAACAATAGAGCCAAACAATCAAAGCTCTGTACTGAATGAAATCATGGCAAGTGAACACACTGAAGGTTATCTGAAAGGAGAAGGAAGAGCTGGATCTGCCCCCTAATCACCAACTAAGAGACACCTCAACCTCAAGAATGATCTCAAATCTCACAGTTTCTCCTCAATTCCAGGGCTGACCCTCGGGAACTCGACCAGTGCAGGGCATGGAATGCTGTGGGAAGGTCAAGGCACCCTGAGGAGGTGAAGGACTCACCCTGGCCCTGCAGGAAGGGGAAATGTAGTAGTAATTCCCAGAATCCCCCAGCATGATCCGGTGCTTGCAGGTCCTGGGGAGGCCGCTCAGAGCACATTTCCTGCAGGAAAAGGGAAAAGCACTTCAGCAATCCAGTGGCACAGCACAGATCCAGTAATTCAGCCACCTGGAGAGATGGAAGTGAGAGATCAGAAGCTGCCCCTGGGTCAGACAGTGTGAAGAAGGGAAAAAAAAACCCCTTGGCTGATATTCTTTTGCTCCTGGAAATATTCCATAAATGGCAAGTTTAGGAGACTTTAAATGAAAGCACCTTTTCCCTGACACACAGCCCCAGAGAAAACCACAGGAAATATTAAAGAGGTGAGGCTGGAGCAGAGCCTCAGAGTCCCCTGGTCTCTGCACATGTCCCCCACATTCCAGGGCAGGCTCAGGTGTATCAGCTTTCCTGGTGAGATGTAAACATGCTGGCTGGGCACCAAAGCTGGCCTCAAAACAGGTAAATCCAGCATTTGAGCAGGATTTGCACATACCAAGGACTCAAAACAAGCCAACCCCTCCTTGGGCAGACAGGAAAGGAGCTTGGTTTCCCAGTTTTGAGATTGCAGAGGGTGAAAACAGCCTTTTCCATACAATCATCAGCAAGGGGTGCAGCATTCCTTTATTTTCTTCCCTTTTCTCCTGCTATTTGCAAGGCAGATGATTCCCATCACCACTTAAAGCAATAAAGCAGAATTTTCTAGTGCACAGTTATCACCATGTTCCTCAGGGACTCAGGAGGAAGAGGAGCATCACTCCCAAACTACAAAAACTCTTCTCAGGGGAGCCACAGGAGGTGACAGCAGAGGGGAGCAGATGTGTCAGAGAGCTCCTGAGCTTGTCCCTGGGCTTGTTTTCTGCTGCTCCCAAGGCAAACATTAGCCAAGAGTGGCAGCACGGGTTCCAAGTGTCCAGATGCAAGGAGAAGTAATCATTTACCAAATATTAACACAACCTAAGGAGACTGAATTCCCAAGAGGTGCAGGATGACCAAAAACTTTGTAAACAAGATACCTGTAAGGAACCACATATTTAAGCATTGCAACATCCTGGAAAAGAGTGACTCTTGCTTGATTGGTACCACTTGGTGTAAAACCACAGCTATCACAATCAAACAAACCAAAATTGCCATAAAAATCAGTGTTTTGCATCTGGGAAAAAAGGGAACAAATTCCTTTTGGGTCTTTTATTGCCGATGGGCTCCTTCCCATCCTGCCTGGGTGGAATTTAGACAGAGTTAAAGGGTTAGGTCAGCTGAGCAAAAACCTCCAAGCTGCCACATGGTGCTGAGTTAGTGACTTGTTAATGCTCCAGAGACCTTTGATCACTGGCTGAACAATAAATATTTCACTTCGTTACGATTTGTGACCGGAAGCCACTGTGAAGACAAAAAAAAATTAAAAAAAAAATCAAAAGGAAACTGATAAACACAGGATGGGTTGTTTGGGGAATAATTTGCAGGAAGGTGGTAGGAAACCTGCACGTCCCTTCTGTCACAGGGACACCTCAGAAGGTAAGAAAGGACTTAAATTTAATAACTGAATAAAATCCCTCCTCCTTGTTTGGAATCTCACATCACTCCCGCTAGTGGGAGGTGGCTCCAAGCTGCCTGTCACACCACTCCATGACAGGGGACAAACCAGCAACAAGGAGGGGACAAGGCAGGGACACACGGTCCTTACTTGGGGCCACCACACTCTTCTGCTGCCACCTTCCCCACAGGAACAGTCTGGGAAGCCACTGGCTCGATGGTGAGGGTGTTCTGCTCCACTGCCACTTGCACCAGCTCCGACAGCTGCAGCAAAACAAGGGAGAGCAGGAATGAATTCCAGGAGGGTAACACTCCAGAGCTGCCAGCTTCTCCTGCTTCTCCAGCACTCACCTCCTGCTTGGTGAAGTCCAGACAAGGTCCTACATCTTCTCGGTAAATTCTGTCCAGGAAGGAGCAGGATTTGTCCAAAGTTGGAGATTCCTTCCAGGCCTGGAACTCGGCAAATAAAATGGAGTCGACCTGCAGCAAGCGTCCAAGAGGAGCAGGAAGAGGGAGGAATACCTTGTCAGAAAGTACCTGATACTTTGCAGGAAACCCATGAAACACCTGCTCTGGCAGCTGGAGAGACTCAGACATCACAGAAGTGTCTGAGGGAAACTGTCTGGCTCCAAGGATCTCTCATGTCCCACCCAGCAGCAGTTCTGTGCCAGAGTGACACAGCCACCCTGGGCTGTGTGTGCCAGAAGCCTGCAGGCACTTCTCTATCCCATTTTCCTCCAGGTGGCTTTTCCTCCTTCGTGTGGCTGCAGGAAAGCCACCACACAACCACTGAATAGACAAAGTGCATGCTCAATGTGTGGTGAGGAATGATGAGGGGCAAGAGGAAACTCTGTGGGATTGGGCATTTAAATCCCAGATGGATCACTGGGCAAAGCACCACCCTGACTGGCAGAGCAGCTCCTACAAGCCCAACAAAAGCTTCTGAAAGGAAAAAATAAAACTAAGCTGAGCAACACAAAGAACATGAATGAATGCAGCTGGAAAAGTCCAGATTCCAGCACATCCCCTTTGTGCCATGGAGACTGCTCACCTGGGACCAGCAACAGCTTCAGAGCCACAAGATTGAAAAAAAATAGAGAAAAACAAAATGAAAAAAAAAAAAAAAGAGATTAGCGTAAAAGGGAAAAAAAATAGAGAAAAACAAAATGGAAAAAAAAAAAGAGATTAGCGTAAAAGGAAGCTGGAACTGAAAGGCTGGAAGCGTGAGAGGCAGGTGGGTCCCACCCATTCCCAAAGATTGGTTACCTGCCGTGAGGAAGAGGAGAAGGAGGAAGCATCTGCTCCCAAGGCCTGCCAGCCTGGCTCATAGGTGATGTGGATAGCCTTCCCAGGGAGGATGCAAAGGAGCAGGGAGAGGAGAGCAGGGAAACCAGACTTGGAGGGCAGAGGGAGAGACAGACAGTGAAGGAAGAGGTTTAGAGAGACAGGCAAAGAGGGAGGTAAAAAACATGAGATACAGAGAAAGGCTCAAGTCCTCCCCTGGAGGAACTGAGCATGGTCCTCCAGGCACCACAGGGCCACAACTCACATCTTTAGACTTCAGCTTGAGGTGCAGAAAGGGAACAGAAATTACCTTTTTTAGGCCCAATCTAAGATCTTTCCCATAGAGCACCAAGTCTCTGAATGCCAGGTTCCCTTTTATCACCTCTTACATAAGAATTCTGAGGGACAAAAAACCATCCCATCCTTGATACATAACATTGGGCACTCTGGAGGCTGAGCCCTGAGATTTGAAACCCCAGGAGATCTGCACCCTGTGGAAGTTGCTTCCATGAAGAAATGACAGATCCAAATCTTCAACAAGTGTTCCCTCAACAATTCTTCAAGACACAGGTTGCAGCTCACAAAAAATCCCTAGTGAGACATATTCCTGCAGCACTTTCTTCTTCAGTTTCATTCTTCCTGACCAAGTGCCTCCTATTTGCTTCCCAGGACAGCTGTATCCACATCTGGCTAGTGGAACTGGCTTCTGCTCAGCAGCTCTGCACATCTGCTCACAGCACTGGCACCCCCTGGATTTGCCCCTCAGTAATCCCTCGACTGCTTCCTGTCCCGACAAGGAGGAAACCGCCACAAAAGGAAGTCCTCCAGTGCCTGCCTCAGCACAAATTTAGGGAACAGGGCACAAAGAGCTGCTCAGTGAGACCACAGAGCTCTGTGGGAAGCCCAGCGTTCCCAGAGCGGCGGCTCCGAGGCCAATGTCCCTGACCCACCTCTCTGCACTCCCGGCTGACAGGCTCTGGAGCCACGCTCTGGCTGGCAGCTGACACCATGGCACTGCTGGTGCTCTTGTTCCGCCCGTGGCCCTTCCTGAAGCCAGCTTTGGAAGGGCTCTGCAGCTGAGGGTGCAGCTCTCGGTTCGGGGAGGATGGCGTGGATGTGATCACCAGCGTCTTCAGGGCTGTCACCTCTGCCTGCAGCATGTCAATCTGGGACACAAGCAAGAGTCATCCTCAGCAAATACTGGCCTCCAGTTTGCTGCATCCCATCAAACATCAAAATCACAGGGAAGCAGCTACAAGCCCAACCACAGAGCCTCTTCCCATCCTCGCAGTGCCACCATCATCCAGAATTTTAAACAGCAGCTGTTTGGGAAGCTTTTGTCCCAGGCTCTTTTCAGAACTAATCACTCCAAAGAAATTTCTCTCTCCTCAAGATGGAGCCATTTGAGCAGCCCTGTGGTGCAGCCATGTCAGGAAATTCCAACTCCCCATGTTCCTGCTCTATCCTTCCATCCCAGAGCTGTGACAATTAAACTTGTCATTTCTCTGTGGATCCATTTCCCTAGTGAGAGCTGGATCAGCAGGAGACTGCAAAGCAAGGTTGTCTGTGAGGCCTTTTCCCTCTCACTCAAGTGTCTGCTAGAAAGGGACCACAGCATCTCAGAGATGAAGCTGCACTTCACTCTGCTCAGCCAACAAACAGCCCTGTGGCCAGGCTGGGCAGAGATGCCACCACACCAACCCCAAAAATGAAGTCACAGAGAGCCACTCACCTTGCCCCGGGCCTCCCTGAGCTGTTTCTCTGCCGCAGCCTGTTTGGTGTTGGCTTCTCTCACCATCTTGTGGGCTTCCTGCACCAGAGAGAGTTTTAATCCACCTGCTGCACCCCAGCTCACACAGCCAGCAAGGCAGGTCCCAGATCTGCCACATCACATGTTCCAGGCAAGGGGACAGACAGACATCCCTGCCACATCCAGGGGGTTTGCTCCTTCAGCTGTGCAGAGCCTTCCCTCAGAATTTCCCAGAGAAGGCTGCCAGTGCCAGAGCCTGGAGTACATCCCATTTCCAAGAGTGTAGCTGGCTACGTTAAGGAGTTTAGCTGGCCAAGGTCATCTCTCACTGATAGGGGCTGCTGAGAATGCCAGAAGCAAGGACCTGCCTTTCCTTGCCCTTGGGAATTGCTTTGACATCAGAACCCACCTGTTCCACACCACAGCTGGGCCTGCCCCTATTCCAACAGCTGTGACTCCAGCCTCACCTCAGCCTGGTTCCTGCAGTCACTGCAGCCTTGCTGGGTGATCCCTGCACTGGTTCCTGACTCTGACTGCTGCCTGTGGCTCTGATCCTGATCCACACTCACTGCTCCATGTCATGGTGAGGGCACTGCTCCTGCCTGCCTTGTTATTGTACTTTACTCCTGCTTCCCTTTCAGAGCAGCTGGCAGGCTGTGACACAGCAGGAACTGGAGCTCACGTGGGGACCAAATGGTGGAAACTGGCTTAGAAGCTTCTCCCACAGGAAGAAGGGAGTGAGATGCAGCCCAGCTGGGGCCTCCCTGCAGTCTGGAAACAGCATCTAGCCAAGGCCACCAAAGGAAGGGGACAGCCCTTGGCTACTTGATCTCCAGGATCACCCTGTGCTCAGGCAGCCAAAATTTTGGGAGGGAGTGCTTCCTTGGCTCTCACAGCCCTGTGTTTCAAATGTACAGATGGGCTCTGGCTTTCCTCATTATCCAGACAGATCCAGACATTAGAGCTGCTGGTGAATAGGGTTTTGCCAGGATACAGCTTGGCAAGAAACCCATTACAACAAAAAAACACCAAAATAAAAACAACAACCAACAAGCCTTCCGGACACTCATTGGAGCAGAGTAGATGAGGACATCCAGCATGTTCCCAACCCCAGCAAAGGCTGGGATGAGCCAGGGAATCATCTCTATTACAGAGCAGCTGCCCAGACTGCAGAGCAGGCATGGAGAGGGACAGGGAGCTATGCTTGGCTCCTCCAGGCATTCCCACATTTTGGAACCACAACTACTGTGCTCTTTATGCCACCCCACAGCTTCTAGAAGGGGAAGGAAATCCAGGTAAAGACTCCACCTGCACCGCTGCCCAGCTCTGCTTCTCCAAGTAGGAAAGAACAACAGGGGAGAGGAGGAAATTGTGGGAGGAGAGCTGGAAGTACAGGGAAAGTCTGTCTTAAAGGAGCTGGATGTAAGCTCAGCTTAAGAAATGATGGGAAAGGAAGAGGGTGGTACCTCAAACAGGCTGGCTGTTAACTCCTCCAGTTCCTGTTCCAGCTGTTCCCTGACTTTTGACAATCTCTCACATTCTTTGTCCTTGAGCTTCAGCTCCTGTTGAGGAAATAGAGAGGGATAGGAAGGCTGATGTCCTGTCCCAGCCTGTCAATCACAGCCCTTCCTCCCCGCCTGATCCATGCCCCAAGATTCCTGTCACCACCTCCAGGAAAGCCCCCTCTGCTCCAACCTGTGCCACCCTCCCCAGGAGTTCCCAAAAACCCTGGGGCTCACCTTCTGTGCTTTGTGCAGCTCATCCCTCAGGAACTCCGAGCCCTTTTCCCGGATCTCCACAGAGGAGCTGCGCAGCCGGGACACGTTGAGCTGCTCTGTGGACTGCGGTTCATGCACACCTCCAGCATCCTGGCATCCACTCTCTGCCTCCTCCTTGTCGCCTTTGGATGGCATCAGGGGCTTCCAGTGTCCCACAGAGGGTGGATTCTGGCTCTCTTCCTCAAGACTGACCTGGCTGGGGGTAACAGCACACGGTAAATGAGTGTGCGGGTGATCCAGAGCCTTCCTCCAACACTCACAACACATCCAGGCACAGGCAGTGGGAATGAGGCAGGGAGGGTGATGGGGAAGAATTTGGGCAGCAACAGCTGCACCTGTTCCTCTGCCCTGCAAACCTATGGAAGTGCCTTACCCTTTTGGCAGGGTGTCCATACTAAATCAGGATAATAACCAGGAGAACAAAGGACAGCTCCTCCAGGGATCCCATTCTCACCTGGTGTCCAAGAGAAATACCCTGCAGATAGACTTTTAGGATTCCAGAATACACCCAGTAGACCTAAGGTCAGACTTGCCTACTGAACTAGTTAAAAAAAAAAAAAAGGAATACAGCTTAGCTTTCCTATTCTTAATATAAAGACCCCAATCCCCTCTGCTGCTAACCCAGCCTTCCTCTACCCCCTGCATCTGCTTCAGAAGGAAAAGACCTATTTTTAACCAATTTTTAACCTATTTTCCCACCTATTTCCCACCAAAATCCCCCACAGAGCTCTCTAAACCACTGTATTTCCCCCAAGCTGAGTTGAAGCCCTATATTTTAGTTTCAGTGGCCAGCAAGCAGAGATATCCTAGAAAGAAGAAACCACAAGAGTGACCCAGGACATTGCACCCCAGTGTTCAGTAGGGCTCTGTCAACTCCCAAATTAACACAGATGCTGGAGAAGCTTTAGGAATGAAAACATCATTTGAGTGCCTGCATGCAGGGCATTGCTGTCACTGCAGTGTTTGCATTTCTCCTCTTCCTCGCTGAACTCTCCCCATAGTCTTTCCCTCCATTTGAAGGCAGTGTGGCAGTGTGTGCAAGCCTTCCCCACGTGGAAGTTTTCTGTCCTGCCCAGACACAGGCACTGCCCGGCAGATTAACCTGCTGCTGCTTATCTCTGGCTCACAAGCTCTGGTGCCCTTCTCTTCGTGCACCTCCTCCCACACTCCTGGTCACTGCTCCTCACCCATCACCTCCTCCTGCAGAGCAGCCATCACCTCCTTTTCCTCAGGCTCACTTTTTCCTCTTCCCTTTGCCCCATCTCTGTGTTCTCCTCTCCTGCATTCCAGCCAGTCAACGCTCTTTCCCCTTGCTATGACTCCATACAGGCTGGGCTTATCTCCTCAGTCCCAGTGTTCTATCACCTCTTCCACTCTAATTTCTCCCTTTCTGTGTCCCTCAAGCTCTCCAAGACCAACAGCTGTCCACAGCCACCTTCCAAAAAGGGAACAAAGCTGCAGCTCCCAGCTAAAATCACCTCAGGTATCATAGGAAAGCATGTGGAAAAGCACACGTGGAGAACTTTCTGAACACTGGGAAGAATTCACACCAGAAAGGAGCAACGAAATCAGAGCACGGACGATAAAAATAATAACTAAAAGAAGCAGCAAGGAAAAGAGACATTTCACCAGTCTACTGATACAAATACACTTAATCTAACCCACAGGAAGGAAAAATAATGTTGTTCCTTTATGACTCTCTAATTCTCATCTGAAAGTTGCCTCAGGAAACAGATATTTCAGCGTATTTCCACACACTACGGAAGAAAACTGGAGGATATGGAGGAATTAAACAGTCCCACCCACACTCTGTAATGCCAAAAACATATCCTGGAAAATCATCTACGACAGAATAGCTCATTCTTTCTCTGCACTGTGCAAAAAAGAATCCCTATGGAAGCCTTGGCTAGGCTGGATTCTGCTCAGTGTCCAGGTGGGGCTCTGAAATCCAATCCCAGAGACCAAAGGAGCACCAGAAACACTCCCTCTCTTGCTGACTAGTAGCTGTCTTTCCAGGAAAAATGGATCATATCCTAAGAGTCATGCTCTGACACAAGAAATGCAAACTACCAAAAAAAAAAAATCGCCAACACCCCACAACCTTCTAAAGTTGGTTTCTGTAGAAAAAGCAAAAAAATGTGCAGGATCTGCACTTTTTCCAGCGGGCCCCACATGTTTCCTGCAGTGCTGATCCGACGGGGTTGTTTCCTGTGCAAGCAGCTCCAGCTCTCTCCAGGTTAAACTCTTACCCCCAGGTTTGGGAGCAGGGCCTGACTTTTCCATCCCCACTGGGATGGACGCCTGACCTGCACCACCATGGACCAGCATCACTCCAGAGAGGTTCATCATCCCATGTGTGCTCAGCATCATCCCTCAAATGTTTGGCAGAGCGTCTGATAGTGGCTTGTTATATTTTTATGCTATTATATTATAGCAGAACACACACTGGCATTTCTTGTCTTTGCCCCAGCAACGAAACACCAAGTCCCGTATCTGGAGATGCTGCTGCCTCTGTATTCTATCTCCTTAATTGGCTTCCACACAACTTCTTCCCTGTGAGGGTGATGGACTGGATTTCCCGGAGAAGCCGCAGCTGCCCCATCCCTGGAAGTGTCCACACCAGGCTGGACAAGGCTTGGAGCAACCGGGTCTAGTGGAAGGTGTCCCTGCCCGTGGCAGCAGATAAACTGCAAAACCCCTTCCAACACAAACCATTCCGGGACTCTACGGAGACAGAGAGCCCCGGCACACGGACGCCGCTCCTTCCCCGTCCAGACCCGCACCTACCCCCGCAACATCGCTGGGTCCTGCTGCTGCTGCTGCTCAGGGCGGAGGCGCGCCCGCCAGAGCCCCCATGGCCGGGCAGCCGCACCGGGAGCGGAGAAGCCGGAGCGAGAAGCGGAGACGCGCCCGGAGGAGCCGCAGCCGGAGTGGGAGCCGTGCCCGGAGGAGCCGGAGCGGGATCCGTGCCCGGAGGAGCCGCGGCCGAGGCAGGAGGGATCAGAACCGGAGGCTCCGGCGGAGGCAGGAGGGCTCGGTTCCCGCAGGCTCCGGAGCCGATCCCGAGCCGCCGCGGCCCCGCCGCCCACGTGACGCGGGCGCGGCTGCGCCCTGAGCGCCGCGGGCCGAGGGTCCCTGCGGAGCCGGCACGGGCTGGGCTCCGAGCTGGCGGCGCCTGTCACCCGTCAACTCACCGCGGGGCTCTGAGGAGGTGCAAGGAGATGGCCGGCAGCCGTCACCCCGCTCCGCTCTTCGTCCCCGGCTCGGAATCGCTCCTGGTTACCTCCGCCTCCTTCCCGACAGCGGGATGGGGAATGGGGGCTGCTGTCTCTGCTGCTCCTTCTTCCTCAAGAGGAGAATGCCTCACACTCCGCCCCTGCTCCAGAGTGGGTTCCTCCCACGGAAGAAGTCCTCCTTCTCCAAGGAGCTCTTCATGCAGTGCCCCAGTGTGGATCCCTTCCACAGGGTCAGGAATAGGCAGCTCCACTGTGGGCTCCTCTCTCCACATGTCCTGCCAGCACCCTGCTCCAGCACAGGCTCCCTGTGGGGCCACAGCCTCCTTCGGGCATGCTCTGCTCCAGGGTGGGCTCCTCCATGGGCTGCAGGTGGATCTCTGCTTCCCTGCAGCCCCCCACTACCAAAACGGTGCCACACAGAGAGGAAACCTGGGATGTAAACGCAGGGAGGTGGAAGGATGGGGGAAATGTGGCTGAGGGAAAATCAGCTGCTGATTGTCCAGGGTTTTTACACTTCAAGGGGAGCATTGGGCTCAGAACCCAACAGACAAACCACTCCTGCTGTCACCCCGTCCCACAGTGGATCCCATTGCCACCTGTGGATTGACAGCACTGGAATTTTGAACCAAAAGCTGCTGCTGCCCTCAGAGGACATTTCCAATCACATCCTACCTTGCCATTGCCCTGGGCTTCCCTCCAGGCAGCCGTTCTCCTTTGGAGCCTTCACACACAGTGACAGCTCCCTCCCTGCTCTCAGCTTGTCCATCATCTGCCACTGGGACAGACCCAGCACCGGAGGCAGGAGAGTCAGACATGGTGATCCTGGTGTCCACTGCAGGATTTTTCTGTGGATACCACACAGGGAGCAATTCTCTGTCCCAGCATCTCCTAGGTGTCTGTGTCACCTCCAGCCCTGCCCTGCCTCATGGCTGGGATCCACAGGGACAGCACAGGCCAAGCCCGTGCTCTGAAGTCTGGGAACGGAGTGTCCGGGATGTTTGTGTCTCTGGCTGCAACCTTTGCTATCTTCAGAGAACTTTTGGGAGGAGGGGAAAGATCTTCAGCTCTGCAAAGCAGCACCAGATGTAATTAGTCTTTGTAATTATTAACTCCCAAGGCTTGGCCAGCAGCAACAGAGGGTCCTTGGATTAGAAAGGTAGAAGTGCTTGCAGGAGCCAACAAAGGCAGGAAGGATGAGAACTGATAGGGCTGACAGGAAGCTTTGAGAGGGATGTGCTGAATCCCAGCCACTTGAAAAAGTAACTTGTCATAAGGGGAAGAGTGCTCCCCTCTTCTTCCCTGAAGAGAAGCAGAAAAGGAAAGGAAAAAGGGAAAACTGGAAATAAAAGGAAGGAAATGACAGAGAAGGAAAGGGGGAGAAGAAAAAGAAAGCCAGACAGAGGCTGGGTAGGGAAGGAAGAACAGGCATTATCTTTGAGTTTGGAAAGCAGAATCTGACTTGCTGACACCCCTTACCCAGCAAAGTCAAACCAGATGGTATTGGCGTGGAAAGGAGAACAAATGGCCTGAAACTCCAGGCTCCATCCAGCCCCTCCTGGCTGGCTCCTTGGCTGTGCCACATGTTTGCTCAGCTGGCTGCAAGGGCTGCAGCAAGGCTCCTCTGGGGTCTCTGACTTACAGCACCAGCACGTTTGATCCTCCCTTTGGCACCTAATCCCCTTCACAATTCCTAAGGCAAGAAACAAGGGACCTCAATAAGGACCCTTCCCTCATTTTCATGCTGTATGCACTGAACTGTGCAACATCAGAGGCAAAGTGAGAGACTTGTCACCATCCAAGCCCCTAAAAGCAAAATGCAAAGGGTCAGATGGAGCTTGGCACAGGGACAGGCACTCCCAGCTCTCAGGGCAGCAAGAATTAGTAAGGAATTCTGCAGCATAATGGGAACAAGCCTGGGGGTCCTCACAAAAGCACTGCAGGGTCACTGCATCCTCTTCAAACATTTCTGGCCAGCTCAAACCTCTGAGTAAATCCTGTCCATGAAAAACAGCATCTCCCCAGACACTTCCCAGTTCATTTTTTAAAAAAATGACATCAGATTTCAAGGGAGCATGTAGTTTGGAGAGACACCTCTGATGCCAGCTGCCTCTGTATCTATCCCAGCACTGAAACTGGAGAAGGGAAAGGGATTTCACCAAGCTTTGGGACCCACTGTCCCTAAAAATGCTTACTGTTCTCTGTGAGAGAGCAAGGAGGGCACCGTGCCTTTCCCAGGAGCCAGCTGCTGCTAACTCAGCATTAAGAATGGCCCTTTGGCATTCCCAAAGCAGGGATTCAACTCCCAGCACAGCAATTCAATCCCTACATCTTTAGCATGGAGAAAATGAGGATGATTCCAGGGCTCTGAGGCTGAGGATGGATGTCAGCACCTCTTTGCTTCCTGCTCTGCTGAGCAAGGCAGGCTTTCAGACCATTCTCCTCCTCAGGGTCTGAGGCCACAGGAGATGTGGAAATAGATCCAAGCAGCTCTGCCACGCTGGTAGCCCTTCAGTTATTTACTTTAATATTAAATTCCGCACATATTTCCTGCTGTCGCAAGGGCAGCTGTGGAGCTCACGAGCTGCCAGCAGAGCTGCTCTCAGAGGAGGGCAGCAGAGGCCCCCAGATGCCAGCACATCCCTCCACAAACAGCAGCACACTCAGGGGTTTGTTGCTCCACGTCCCCAGGAGCAGCCAAACTGCTCCCAACAGCTGCAGCGAATACCTCACCGGAAGCATTTTGGTCTCCCTGCTCTGTGTGGGGATGAGGGTTCAAACCCTAAGACCCTCAAGATCTATCTCAGCCTGCCTGTTCAGCAATTCCAGCCCTGGAAGTAGACCACATTCACTTCAGAGAGGCTCCCCCTGATCTCATGTCCCTTCACAGAGCACTGATCCACATTTTAAATTGTGCTCTCCCTGCCACTGGCAGCAATTCCCAGGACTGCACCAGAAATCCCACAACAGGCAGATGCCAGGTAGCACCTGCTCCAGAGGAGCAGTGAAAGAGCCCACTCCCCTTGATCAGCCACAGGAAAGAGAAAACTACAGCTGGGACAAACTGATCCCAACTACTGATGTTAAGTAAGTGTTAAAGACAAAGCACAGGAGAAAGTTGGTTCTTACAGGAGCATGGGTCCCTAGCTGCTCTTACCTTGAAGGATCAGACCTGTGCTCCCTCTCCAGAGTGTCCCAGAGCTGCCTAAACGATGGAAGACCAGTTCATTAAGAAAATATTTTGATTCAGAACCTCACGGAAGGGGAATGTCCTTAAGACCTAAGCAGAAGCATTGAGGAGGTGGTAGAAGGGAAGGATGGTCACAGTTGGGAAGGAACAGAAAAGCGACTAAGGACCCTGGGAAGACAGAGGGAAGGAGTTCCCTGGCTTGGTGGAAGTTTGAGGGCAAGGCAAGGACCAATGTTTCCCAGAATATCATGCAAGGAAGCACAGTGACAGCTCTCAAGCACTGCTGGAAAAGCAGGAGCAAAAGAAAGGGAACAGATGGAAAGAGTCTCGGAGAACCAGTGGAAGAGTGGAAATCCTCTGCATCCAAACCACAGCTGGAAGAGGTGGCAAACTCATCCAGGGACAGTGAGGGATGACAGGGAAGCATCCCATGAGAGCCAAGCAGAGCACAGACCAGGTGTTTCACTGACCTAGGGAAGAGAGGGCAGCCCCCAAGCACACTGTGTTTTACAGCGTTGGTGGAAAATTCCAGCCCTGCATAATCTCCTGGGGTTCCTGTAAGATTGTGACACGGAGAGAGGGACCAAACAGGAAAGAATTAGAGGAAAAATGCCTCTCTTCTGGCAGCCACCATGGCTGTGCCAGGAGTTAGTAGCAGCGGAGCAGCCAGCCCTGCCTCCCCCTCCTCCGGCCGCCTCTATAAACACGCAGGGCTTACTCAGAAGATTAGGAGGGAACGGGGCAAAAGACAACAGAGTCTCTTTTGTAATGAGGAAGGATTACAGCATCAAGTGACCGGCTGCAGCTCCCAAGTGGGTCTCAGGCTCCTTAGCACACCGTGTGGGGCAGGTCCAATCCCCCATGAGCCAAGGGGGCACGAGGATGCAGGCGGTGGCCCGGGCCACAAAGGACTCAGCAGGGACACGTGCAGGACCAAACCTCCCCAGCCTCCAGCACGGCTCAGGAGCCCATGACTGTGAGTATCTGGTCCTAATAGCAGCAGGAAGATCACTCTGTCCTGCAGAGATCCATCTTCCTGCCTATCTGTGACTTCCTCTGGCTCCATCCCTCTGCTCTGTCTGCTCGCTGTCTGTCTTTGCAATACCTGCTAGGGTCTGTTTGTGGTGGGTGATGCACCCGATGTCCCAGAATCTTGCTTGCTGTGGGCTCCCACAACTGAATTCCAGGTCAGCTGACTTCCAGGTGTACTGGTTAGTCCAGAGGGATGAGCAGGGGATGCAGGCAGCAGCTCCCTGGGTGGACTCTTCCTGCCCATCCTGACTCCAGGGTCCTAGTGAGCCACCTCCCACCACAGACCTCAGCCACTAATGGAATGTGTCAGCTTCCCAGTGACACCCCAGGGCAGCTCAGCACAGGCTGGCAGGTGGGCAGGGAAGTGCCTTACCCATTCAGGGCTGGAGGGAAAAGCACTGGGAAAAGCCCCATATCCCACACAGGAGCAGAACAGAGTAGAGGTGGGCAACATCCATTATTTACACGGCCAAGAGCTGGAGTTTTCCTTCTTTGGTAAAAAAGGGAATCTGTATTTGAATTACGCAACAAAGAAACTCCCTGAGCGCTTTCGAGCCCTAAAGCCCAGAGAAAAGATGCAGCTTTGTGTAAGGGGTCCCAAAAATGTATGGGTTTTCTCTTCTGGGCAGCCTGTGGGTTCAGCCTCTGGGGCAGTTAAAACCTACTCTTCCAAGTGCCCAGAAATCCGTATGGAACGGACACAAGGATTTACTGAAATGGGCATTTGTGCAGCTGGGGACAGGAACAGCTCTGCTCCTCTGTATCACCCTTAAGAGGGGACTCAGGGACCTAAGTTATGACAGGAAAACCCAAAGGAGGGGCACCAAAAAGCCAAACCCAGGACAAAAATGTTGCTTGGTTGAAATAGCCAAAAATACCAACTTTGCTGGTTTTCTTCACAGCAGCAGCTCACTGGGACCTGAGTTGTCCCCATCTAAATGTAAATCTTTCACTGGGATGCTTAAATGAGAAACAAATGAGGAAGGTGGGCCCAAACTTACCTGCCTTCAGCTGCTTGAGAGTGTGACCTGTCCCTTGAAGTGCTTCTTCATCCCCATCATTCAGGGAAGAGCCCAAGGCCCCATAATCATTAACGTTATTACCTCTAAATAGCAATGCCTGGTGACATGTTAGGATTCAAAAATACCAATAGTTCACACTGGGTAATTATTTCTAACCCAAGAAATCATTCACCAATCTGCTTGGATTAGATAACACTGGTGTCTTGTTGTTTGTTGGGATGTTTTTAAAATAAAGTCAGGTTTATGCAACCATGAGTCTGATTATTAATTGATTATAAAGAATTATTTATGCAAGTTAGTCTAGAAGTGAAATGGGGATGCTGCATGTTTGGCGAGCATTTCAGGAGCCTGAATGCCTATTTTTCAGCCACTGTGATTTATTGTGCAACATATGGTTGAAGGAGAGGGGAGGTGGAGCTGCTGGAATTTGGGCCCTGTGAGCCTGGCCAAACTCCATCCCACAGATCTCCAACAGGGAAGGCTGCTCTGCCTACATGACTAGGACCAGCAGAGTGCAGATAGCTATCCTTGCTGGGATGCCTTCATTTGGATCAGTCCCAAGAAATCTTTCTGGGGTTTTTCCTTTCCTTTGTGGTTTTTTTTTTTTTGTTTGTTTGTTTGGTTTTTTTTCCCCAGCAGTATTTCAGGAAGATGTTTCCCAGCAAATAGGTTTACAGAAATATATTTGGAACAAAAACCATATTAAGAAAATTACTGGGCTAAGCATAAGCTATGCAGTTTGTGACCCTGAGATTAATCTTACCACAAGTATTTTGTTGAAAGGGGTGGCACATGGGCTTTGTCCTCTTCAACCAACTAGTCCAACCTGAATGCTGACAAAAATCAAAGACTAAAAACAAAGGGATCCACCAGAAAATATATTCTCAGTCACTATAACCAGACCAAAGACAGAGAAAAGATGGCAAACTCATCAAATTAATTGCCTGCTGTCAATTTCCTCCTGGTTTTCTGTGCTGCTGCCTACATCTTACCCAGCTTTTGATCTCAGCTTATTCTGTTTTCTCCTTCCTTCCCATCTTCCTTGTTGGGACACTTGGGATGTCCCTGTGTCTCCTCCTGCTCAAGCTCCAAGTCCTGCTTGTCATGTGCCTGCACAGGAGCTGTGATGACAGTGACCTACACCAATCGCGTGGCAGATGCCCGCCTGGGCACCTTCTCCCAGCTCCTGCTCCAATGGAAAGGCAGCATCTACAAACTGCTCTACTCCGAGTTCCTGATCTTCATCTCACTCTATTTTACCATCAGCCTTGTCTACAGGTGAGCAACTTCACACCCACAGCCTGGCCTGGGGCAGGACACAGGAGAAACACAGGACTGGGGCAGGGATCCTGCTGGGCAGGCACTTGCCAGACTTTGTTCACAGGAGGGAAGGGGAGGGGAGAAAGGAGAGAAGGAATAGGGAGAACTGCTTCTGTTTGCCCTTTTAGGCTGATCCTGAGCGAGAGCCAAAGGCTGATGTTTGAGAAGCTGGCGCTGTACTGCAACAGCTACGCCGAGCTAATCCCCGTGTCCTTCGTGCTGGGTAAGGAGCTGTCTGGAATCCAGCAGGGAGGGGAATGGGACAGCATTTCTTCTCCTTGGTTCGGCAGAGCTCAGCTGGCAGAGCAGGTCCTCCCTCTGCCTTTGTAAAACTCCTCAAGTGGGATATATCCTTTATTGGCACAGCTGTGAGTGTCCCCAGCACAGGAGGGCAAGCTCCAAGTGGCACCAGATATGCCCAGGGAATTTGTGGCTGCCTCATCCCTGGAAGTTTTCAAGACCACACTTGATGGAGCTCTGAGCAACCTGGTCTAGTGGAAGATGTCCCTGTCCAGAGCAGGAGATTGGAATGAAGTCATCTTTAAGGTTGCTTCATAGAATCAGAACAGTTTAGGCTGGAATGGAAGTATGAAATCCAGCCTCCTTTTAGCATGGAGGACTGAATTCCCCTCCAGACATTCCTGCACCCATCCCTGTGTGAGCAGAAGAGAAGGAGATCAGACAGAATGGCAGGAAGAAGCTCTTTTCAGATGCCTGACACTCTCAGCTCCCCTCTAGGTTTCTATGTGGCCCTGGTGGTGTCCCGCTGGTGGGCCCAGTACGAGAGCATCCCATGGCCAGACCGGATCATGAACCTGGTGTCCTGCAACGTGGATGGGGAGGATGAGTACGGGAGGCTCCTGCGCCGCACTCTGATGCGCTACAGCAACCTGGTCAGCGTGCTGATCCTGCGCTCCGTCAGCACCGCCGTCTACAAGCGCTTCCCCAGCATGGAGCACGTCGTGAGGGCAGGTCAGCACTGCTCCTTGCTGCTCCTCTAGGGGCAGGGGGCCCTGGGAAAGATTTTTGGAAATGGGGTTGTGCTGTTCCCTCAGGGCAGGTGGGAATTCGAGTCCCAAGTCTCTGAGCTTAACTGCTGGGCACACTGCATCTTCTTGGGAGATGCTCCTCAAGGTCCAGCAGAGTTCCCAGTCTGCCCACATTGTCTGGGTTCCCTTGGCAATCCACAGAGATGTGATATTGCTGGCCTCTTAAAAAGGCACTTCAGGGACAAAAATGATCCCATTCTCAGCAGGTATCTATGGACACTAGGCAGCTGCACCCTCAGCAATGCTTTATCTCCCTGATGGCTCTGATCTGATGTGCTGCAGACATCCAAAGTGAAATCCCATTATCCCACCTCCATCACTCAATGTTTTAACAAGGAGACTTGTCCTTCTGTATGTCTCCCCAAATTCTGAGTCTTTACTGGGATTTTTAGGGAGGGCCGAGGCATCCACCTGAGATTCAGATGTTTTCATTTCAGACCAGATCAGTTCCTTCTGCCTTCTATGTCCATCCCCCTCCCAGCTGCTCTTTTCCATCCAGGCCTCATGACACCAGAAGAGCACAAGAAGTTTGAGAGCTTGAATTCTCCCCACAACAAGTTTTGGATCCCATGTGTGTGGTTCTCCAACCTGGCTGTGAAGGCGAGGAATGACGGCAGGATCCGGGACAGCGTGCTGCTCCAAGGAATCCTGAATGTGAGTGACAGAGGGGACAGGCACTCTTTGAGATCCTGGGGAACAGGAGGCACCTATGAAACAGGTCCTTGACACATTCCAGGACAGCCAATGCCCATGGAGGTTTCTAGGATCCAGATGGAAAGCCACAAGGAAGAATATATCTGGAAGTCTAGGAGAGGTCAAAAACACCCTCAACAACTGAGGTCCTGTAGAAAACACTGCTATTAAAAACTCTTAGTTTTGGGCAACAGGCCATGCTCCACAGGCAAGACCTGGCAACAATCCCTGCCCAGCTGCACAGAAAAAGGCTCTGGAGCAGCTCCTCCTTCTGGATATTCATGTGCAGATAAAGTCACGTGATGTCCGTTCCCTGTTCCCTGGAGCAGGATTCATCTCCCCAGAGACAGAGAAACCTCCCTCTGGGATATCTATCTATAGACAGGAGAGAGAAATAGATGCTCCTAAGGGCATTCTTGGCCTCACCTGTTGGCTGCTCATTTTGTGATGAGAAACTGCTGTGAAGTGAGCTAGGAAGGGATCTTGGGCTCAGGGGGAGACACCCAGGCAGCAGGGAATTCCTCCAAGGCTGAAACTGAGCCCCTCTTCCAGAGAAGGTATAAGCAGAAGGGAAAGGGCTAGAGCAATGCAGGACAGCGGTGCTGGAGAGGCTCTGCAAGGAGATGGGAAGTTATCCTCACATGCCATTCCCTTTTCCCTGCTGCAGGAGCTCAACACCTTGCGCAGCCAGTGTGGGAAACTCTACGGATACGACTGGATCAGCATCCCCCTGGTCTACACCCAGGTGAGAAGGAAATCCCCACACCCATTGCTTCTCCACTGCCCGTGCACATCCCCACTTACACCCACACCTGGAATGGTCTGGGTTGGAAGGGACCATAAAGCTCATCCAGGGACACCTTCCACTATCCTAGGTTGCTCCAAGCCATGTCCAACCTGGCCTTGGGTGCATCCAGGGCTGGGGCAGCCACAGCTTCTCTGGAAAACGTATGCCAGGGACTCACACCTTCTTAGTAAAGAATTCCTTCCTCATATCTAATCTAAACCTTCCCTCTATCAGTTTAAAACCATTGTTCCTTGTGCTGTCACTATCTGGCTGTGTAAAAAATGCCTGTGCCTTTCCTTCCTTTCCATAAGCCCCTTTAAGGTACTGGAAGGCCACAGCCTCCCCAAAACCTCATCTCCAAGTTGAACAACCCCTGCTCTCTCAGCCTTTGCAGAAGTGCTTCATACCTGACCCACCGTGAAAAATGCAGGTTACTCTTGAATCCCTCACCCCCACCTGCACACATCATCTTTCTTCCCTTGGTACCTCAGCACACACCCAGCCCAGCCTGCTTTCCTTAACTCAGACACATCTACCTCTCCAGAACAACCTCTATCCAGGGCTAACAAATCCACACAGACCTATGGAAAACACAGGAACACACAGACACTCCCTGCACCACCTTGCAGGGATCACATCCCGGGAAGGTTGTGCCAGGCGTGTACTCAGCTATTTATCAGCCCAGGCAGACACTTTGGCACCACCTTTCTCCTTTGTCTCCTACAATCCAGCTGCTCAGATAACAGGGATGCCCTTCACCATGAAATAGGAGCTGTTGTTGCTGCTCTGGCAGTGCCAGAGGTTAGTGGGGAACATGTAAAGTGTATTCCTGTTTTGAACCGCCTTGTTTATATCAAGGGACCACGTGAGATTCTTGGTTACTTTTAACTTGAAAAGGGGAAGTTTCCAGTCCTGTGGTGACAGGGAAAAGCACAAAGCTCAGCATAGCCTGAAATCCAGGCAGGAAAATATTAATAAAAGCTCAGCATGAGGAGAAGGAAGGAGCAAATAGAAGTGCCAGGGTTCCCTTCCCAGACTTGGAAGCAGCCTGCCAGCATGGACTGAGCCATGAGACAGCTTCCCATCCATCCAGGATATCATGTGCTTGCTGCCACTGGCCTGTGACACCCGCACAGATATAATTCCAGGGACAGCATACAGTGTACATAAAAGCTGCAGGGAAAAGGGAATGTCTGTAGCTTTCTGCAGGGAAATGCATCCCCCTGCAAAAAGCCTGTCAGAACTGAATCCAAGGCTTCCCAGAGGCTACAGAACTTGGCTTTGGAGTTGTGTGGGGTGGAACTGAAGGGAGATGCTGGGAACTCACGCTGCCCTGGTGTGTCCCTTGGCGTTCTTCCCAGGTGGTGACCGTGGCTGTTTACAGCTTCTTCCTGGCCTGTCTGATTGGGAGGCAATTTCTGGATCCAGAGAAAGCATATCCAGGCCATGAGCTGGATCTCTTTGTGCCCGTCTTTACATTTTTGCAATTCTTCTTCTATGCTGGCTGGTTAAAGGTAAGTCCAAGAAAACACGGCTGGAGCTGGAATCTGACCCAGCCAAGGGTTTTTCCCAGTGTGAGCTCATCAGGAACCCTGCTGTGTTCTTTGATCTGTGGGCAATAACAGGAAGCCAAGATGGGCTGAGGAAGTGCCAGGACTTTCTAATTTTCCAACTGCCTCATTCTGGACACCAGCTGCACTTTTCCTAGGCTTTGGTCCTTACTAGAGGGAAAAAAGGAGCTCCTTAAGTTGCAGGAGGATTGTGTGAGCAGGGGGGAGTTATTATAAATTCCAGTGTCTCCCAGCCCCTGGGATGCTTCCACTTTTAACCCACCCCCTTTTGGGAAGAAAAACATGGCTTGGTATTCAAGGGACATCACACCTGACTTCTCCCTGCAGGGAAAGGGGCAGGGATGACAGTGGTGACCTTTGCTGTCTGCTCTCCACATGCAGGTGGCTGAGCAGCTCATCAACCCTTTTGGGGAGGACGATGATGACTTTGAAGCCAACTGGCTCATTGACAGAAACCTGCAGGTAAAGGGGAGGAAGATTCACCAGGTGAGCCTCACCTGAAGAGGAACACCAAGGCAGGACAGTGACCAAGTCCCCGTGCAACACCTCTGCCTCCACCTCCCTGCCTGCAATGGGAGAGATCCTCCCAACGCACAGCAGGGATTTTGGGGCTCCTGGCACATCTTTGTACACAGAGGCTGCCTGCAGCTTCAGTCCATGCTCTGGCACATGGGATAGATCAAGGCTGCTTGTTTCAGGTCCCAGCTGCCTCTGAATGACACATCATTCCTGCCCCTCCTTTCTTACTCTGTGTCCACCTGAAACTGCCTTCTCTGCTTTCTGCCATGCAGTAACTCCACACCTCCCACCCTTCTGTCCTAATGAGTCTGTTGCTGTCCTGTCTCCTTCAGCACCATTTTCCTTCCAATTAATCAAATCTCTGTGTGAGAAACAACCCAAATGACAGGAAACCACAGCAACCCCAGCCACTTGCCTGGCTTCCGCGCTGCACCGCTTCCTCCAGCTCTGTGTTCCTTTGTCCCTCGGTAACAGGCACACAAAATGCTCCTCACCCCATGTGACATTCCTGCTGTCCCCCGCAGGTCTCCCTCATGGCAGTGGATGAGATGCACCAGGATTTACCCATTCTGGAGAAGGACCTCTACTGGAACGAGCCCGATCCCCAGCCACCCTACACCGCAGCCACTGTTGAGTACAAGCGCCCATCCTTCCTGGGCTCCACTTTTGACATCAGGTGAGTGCAGGGACAAAGTGTCACAACACCTGGATCAGGTTTTATTAGGACATTACACCTGAGGAGCTTTTAGGCTCATCCACAACAGCCAACATTCTCCATGGAAAAGGATAAATCTAACCTCTTTTCCTCATTCACCTGTATGATGAGCATCCCTGTTTTGGGGGGATAATGGCAATACAGGGAGAGGCTTGCCACTGGCAGCAGCATTCCCAGTGCTGCCGGCCTCTCCAGGAGATCCCTCTCCTCCCCCTGGGGCTGTGTAACAGTCCACTTTGCCTTTCCCAGCATGCAGAAGGAAGAGATGGAGTTCCAGCCCCTGGAGCAGATTAAAGAGAACGAGGAGGCCAACCACTCCACTCCCTTGCTGGGACACCTGGGCCGCCTCCTGGGTGTCCAGTCCCCAAACTTCTCCAGGTCCTCTTCCCGGATGAACCTGCTGCGCCGGCGAGGAGATCCCGCGTCGCCCTTCTCCCATTATACCTACCAGGACATGGGGAAGGTCGGAAGCCCTTGTGGCATCAGTCAGCCAAGAGGAGACTCCCAGGAGCAGTGGGACAGTGAAGAGGGAAAACTAAGGGAGTTTGATGCTTTCATGTCCACCCCCTTTTACGAGAGGCCTGGGTTCTACAGCGCTCCACAGACGCCCATCAGCTCCATCCCCATGATCTTCCCTTCCCGGCGCCAAGGGCGCAAGAAGCCACCGGCACTCTCCAGCATCGCTGCGTGCTCCGCTTCCCTTCGGGATGTCATTGTCAATGCCTCCCCTTCCAGGGCCAGCGATGTGGACAAGAGCCAGAGCTCCCTGGGCTCTGCTGCAAAGGAAACCTTTGTTTGGCCAACAGAGCGGAGCAAAGGTCCTGACTCGGTGGCTGTGACAGTAGAAGAAGGAAAGGGCAGTTCCAGGGAAGCAGCCACCACAGGAAGCCCAGGAGCACAGTCCACAGCATCCAACAGCCCCAAATTCCCCTTCCTGCCAGAGACCCCCGAGCATGAGAAGCACGGCAGCTTCAAAAGCCTGAAAAGCTCCAAAGCCTCACGTCCACCCTGGCTAAACCTGGAGAGCACAGCCTCAGCCACTCCCAATTCGGAGTATTCCAGTGCCTTTCACACCCCCAGTAACAAAACCCCCGGAGGCAGCGCCTCCCTCTGCTTCTCCTTCACGCCTGTCACCTCTCCAGCGCTGGAAAGATCCCACAAGGGCAACCTGGGCCCTGAGGCTCACAGCCTCAGTTTGGAAGATGCAGCCAGCACTCCAGACCAGCACCCAGAGGTTTCCAGGAACATGAGAGACACTGGGAATGGAAACACCAACCCCCCAGCTCCTAAAGAGCCCAGGAGAGCAGAGAGTCCATCCCCCAATGACTCTGGAATCTCCCTAGCCGAGGGTGACTACGTGGGGCTGATGGAGGTGATCCTGGAGGCCAGTGAAAGCCCAGGGGAGGAGCAGATAGACCAGTATAGCTAAAGGGCAATCCATGGATCTGTGGGATACCTGCCTTATCTTGGCACTCACCCAAGCAGAGGTGCTGGACATGCAGCTGGAGTTCAGCTTGAGCTGAAACCAGCACAAAGGACACACTGCTCCTGGCCTCAGCTACAGCAGCAGCTTGAGACACAACAAGAACAAAAGCACCCAAAAAATCCCATCTGTAGCAAAAGAGCAAGACTTTGAGTGTTAAATATTGCAGGTACCAGCCTGACCAGCCAGGTGTACCCCGGAACAGGAGCACAGTTAATGTGGATACCTCCCTCCTCCTCACAGCAAGAATGAGAACTTGAGTCCTTTCTCAAGCAGGACTTGCACTCCTAACAAGATAGTCTAGGGCAAAGTAAGGGACTGAGGAAAGCCCCATCACGTGTGATGCAGACCCACAGGGTTTCTTCCAGTCCTGTCTGGCTAGCGTTTTCCAGTACTGGGATAAGGCAAGGTAAGGGCTTGCCAGCACAGGCAGCTGCAGCATCAGCCCAGCACATGGCTTCCTTCTGAAGTTCCCCATCTCCCACAGGAATCTGACAGTGCTCAGAGAAAGCTGGATGGCAGCAGACATCACTCAGCTGATTTTTACTGCCCACCCTCAGAAAATAAAAAACTAGGCTCAAGCCCAGGACCTTGGTTTCATTTCCTCATTTTAGTTCCCTGCAAGGAATTTAAAGAAACCACAGAGGTTTTCCTACTTCTGCCTTCAGCAGCAGCTGCAAATCCCCCATGTCACACAACAAATTTACCTCCCACTGCCTTCACTACAGCTGCCTACTCTCCCTCCAAACTAAACAGGAGAAGCCAGCTGGAACCAAGTCACTTTATTGGCTGGAGGGCAGTACATAAAACATGAACAGAACTGGGGATATTTGGTACAGAATATGGAACTGTTTATCTAGGTAGCTGAAGCTGCATGCACGGCTGGACAGTAAGAAGGAGTCCCAGTGAAACCCACAGCATGGCTCTTGGCAAGGCTTCAGCTGTGACACTCCCCGAGGGTGTGCTTGTCGAAGAGATACTCGGCCATGCCGTATTTGGGGGCCCCCATCTTGCGCAGGTTGGTCACGTGGTCACCCAGCTCCTTGATGGCTTTCACCTGCTCATCCAGGTAATGGGTCTCAATGAAGTCACACAACTGAAAGGGAGACCAGAGGTTTGAATTCAGGCCCGAAACCCTACTGAGGCTCTCTAAGGAAAGGACAGGATGCAGAATGATCAAGCTGAGAAGAAGCAGACTCTAGTTTTATTGCAGAACAAGATCAAAGTGAGCCAGGCTTAGGTAGGTGCACTTGCTCCAGAACCCTGCAGAGCCAGGCAGCTCAGGAAGCCTCTCCTCTTCCTCACAGCAGGAAGCATTAGCCAAGCTCCTGAACAGATCTGAGACACCCCCACTGCACAGCAAACTCACAGCAGTGAGGATTTACACCACTGCTTTTGTTTCAAGAAGTCCTTCTAACTTAGGCAGGACACTCCCAAGAGTGCTTGGATTCTCACATGTATTAACCTCTTCCTGATATTAAATAACCTCAATCCAACCTTGCTTTTCAAAAACTTCCATCTGAAAAGAATTTTGTGTTTCAGAGCTTTTAATATTCCAAAGCAACTCTGGAATTTTGTGGCAAAAAACCCCTCGTGACAAAAAGCCTTAAAAAGATGGAACTCAACCCCCTCAGAAATTGTCTCCATAGAGACTGTTCACAGACACTTCAGAGGGAATAAAGCAAGTCCCTGTCACTTTAAACACGCTCCTGGAAGGACAGCAATAACCCCACCAAAGTCTGGAAGGGCTGTACTCCTGGCTCACAGCTTTTACAACACCAGGGACAGAGCTCAGCCCCAAAGCCACACAATTAAAAGACACACCCTTGGTCAGCCACACTGATCCTGAGCATGCACTTACGTGTGGGTCGTTCTTTTCGGTTGCCAATTTGTGCAGCTCTAGCAGTGATTGGTTCACGTTTTTCTCCAGGTGCAGGGCACACTCCATGGCAGTCAGGCCATTCTCCCAGTCATCACGGTCTGGCTTCTACAAGAGCAAAGCACAGGACAGGTTTTCTGTAAAAACCCATACACCAGCAGGGTGGAGAGCCTTTAGATCACTTGCAAAGCCTAAACCAAGTTTAGGCATTTACACAAAGTCAAAAGTTTGAAGTGCACCCTCAGAACAGAACTGAGCAAACCCTTGAAGTCCCACTTCTCAAAACAGTGCACAGAGCACATCTGTTCTGTGTTGAGTTTAATGATGGTGATGAACCAATTGCCTTCTGGCTCTGCCCCCACCCCACAGCAAACAACCCAGGGCTCAGCACCCTCTCCTTACACAAGCAGTACTTTTTTATTAGTCAATCAGCACAAATAATCCAATTGCTCCACATGTCAAATTACTGTGCCTCTCCAGAGTCAACTGCTGCTCCTTCTGGGGAGGAGCCAGAGGAAAATTCATTCCCTTGCAGCTAGGGCAGCCCCCAGCTCACCTTGACATCCTGCAGGAAGATGCGCCCGCCCCTCTGGTTCTGCAGCTTCATCAGCTTCTCAGCATGCTCCCGCTCCTCGTGGGACTGATGCAGGAAGTACTTGGCAAAGTTTTTCAGAGCCACATCATCCCGGTCAAAGTAGTAGGACTGAAAAATAAAAGTTTACAGGCTCTAAATCTCTGCTTCAGGATGGCTGCAGTCCAAGCCCAGGCCAGAAAGGCAGTGTGGAACAATTCTCCCCTTAGTATCATTCGATTTTTCCAGCTAGGATTAAATTTTAACCTGTACCCCTACCAAGGGCACAAAATGGTGTTTGTGTCCTTGGCTCAGTTCTAAAAACACAAAACCAAAAAAAACCCTGAAACCCTGCTGCTATCTGTTCTGAGCACCATTAAACTGCAGCCTTGAAAGGCCTTTTCCAAGGAGAAATCTTCCCTTTGTTTGCCTGAGCTTGTTTACAATGACCACATTGCAAGTCAGGGTCATGACTTGCAACATCAGGTAAAGGTGAGCCAAGAACTTTTAGGTACTCCTGCAATAAAGCTCTCTTGCTTCACTAGGCTTTCCAGGGATTAGACTAAGGAAAACACTTTCTACTTTTCTGCGGGAAAAAAAAAGTGACATTTAAAATACAAGAGATTAACTGAATTACAATATGAATTTAACAGCAACTAAAATATGAATGAAGTTACTTTTCTGAAAGCACAAAAAAACCAAACAAACAACTGTTACAGCAGTTAGAAGCCGTGACACAGCTTGTTTACTCCTTGCTCAGAACCATTACCAGGCTCCAATGGAAAGTTCTGTATGAACTGCCAATTATTTACCGACCTACCACAGAACTCTCTGCTCTTAGACCAGCGGCCTGGATGTTCAAGGCAAAGCACCGGCGCTTGTGCACCATTATCGCCCACTAAGAGAAGCTCAAAACACGGCTCAGAACCTAATTAACACAGCAAAACAGCTACAAAACACGTGCCACAACACAGCACAGTGTCCCTAGGAAGCCTCGATGTCCCAGCACGCCCGAAGCACCAGGATTGCTGCACAGAGGTCAGGGAACAGCTATAATGGGCGCCTCGGGCCAAAGGAGGCATGCAAACACAGGGCCCAAGGAAACCACGGATTCCTCCCGATTCCTGGAGGAAAACCCGAGCCTGGGAGGCGAGCACGCCTGCGGGAAAGGTGCCAGGAGCCTCGTCAGACACCGCCCGCTCCCCTGCCCGGCCCCAAGGGCAGAGGCGCTGAGCGCGGCTGATAACAGAGCCGCCAAGGGCAACGGCCGCGGGGCCCGCGGAGCAGGCTGTGAGATAAAAGAGCCTCACCTACACCCAGGGGACAGCCCGGACGGGGCCTGAAGGCAGCGGGGGGGAGGAGGAGGCGGAGAAAGAGGAGGAGGAGGAGGAGCCGGGCGCGCAGGCACCGCCCAGCACCCAGGAACCCCCCGCCGAGCAAGGCCCTCGTGCAGCCCCTTTATCCCTCGCAGGACCCTTCCCTCACCCCGTCGCGCCCGCGCCCTCACCATGCTGAGGTACACGTAGGACGCGTAGAGCTCCAGGTTGATCTGGCGGTTGACGGCGGCCTCGCAGTCCTGGTGGTAGTTCTGGCGCACCTGAGAGGGGGGCGCTGCCATGGCTGAGCTGTTCCGGTGACTGTATAGACGGCGGTGTTGGAAAGGGGTGGCGGCGAGCCCGAGCGCGGCCGGTTCCGTCCAAGCACTGTTGACGCAGGAACCCGCTTCGCTCCGCCGCCGACGCGCTGTGAGGGGAGCCCGCCCGCCGCCGCGCCTTTTATACCGCGGCGCTCCAGGCCACGCCCCCACGGAGGCGCGGGGCGTCCCGGCGCCCTTCTGCTGGCCCGGCGTGACTCAGCACCCGCCCAGGCCACGCCCATAGCGGGGCGGGGCCTCCCCCCGCGCGCCGCCGTTTCCCGCCGCGCGCGCGCGCCGTCCATCCCGGAATGGCCCGTGTTGGGAAACCCCCCCAAAGGCCACCGAGGCCGGCCATTTCCCCAGGGGCACGCTGCCAGGCCTGCTGCCCACCCGTGCCCCGCACCCCTCCGGGCCTGAGCCCCCTCCCTGTGGGAAGAAAAAGTTCCTAAAATCCAAGTTAAACCCAGAAACTGAAAGGCAAATGTCAAAAGCTGGACCTGTTGGTAATGAGGTCGCCATTTCAGCTGCTTTTAGTGCTACCCCGGTCACTCGATGTGTGCCGTCATTTGTTTTCAATAAAGCTCGGGTTTTTGAGTCATTCAGTTCAGTCATTAATTTACAATAAGCACTGGAGTCTTTTAGTATCTGCTTTCTTAAATTTTAACCAGATTACAAGGGAATAAAAAATGCTTAAACTGAGATCATGCCATAGCACTGAGCGCCCCAATCTTGGCTTTTCCCAAACCAACATCCAACCCTGGTTTCTCCCAAGCTAATGTTCCTGCTGAAATCCACCAGAAATACAATGTACTAAGCCTGTAATCTCAGAATAAATAATTTTTCCTCTGCATACTGTGCCTGCAAACTCAGATTAAATATTTTTTCCTGTATGTACTCAGGCCATAAGCTCAGATTAAATAATTGTTATCCTCTCACCACTTCTTTCTACACATTTTTATCTGGTCTTTGACCTTTCCCGGCACTGTGGGATGTCCCACGCGTGACTGCACCAGTGCCTGTGTGTGGGTAAAGGGCAGCACCAGAGCATTTTTCCAGACACTCCAAATGCCCCGGAGGGAACAGGGAGCCTCGGCCTCCCTTTGTTTCAGGGTTTTCTGCTGCTCCTGTCGGTTAACCATCACAAGTAATTAAGATCTATAAGATAACATGGGTCATACCTATGCTTCAGCAGGCTGCCAGGTACGTTTCAAATCTCCTGTTCTCCTCCCACATAAATGCTTATGTAAAAGAAAAAAAAAAAAGAAAGAAAAAAATAAGTAGCTGCTGGGCAGACTCTTTTTTAATATATTTTTTTCTTTATTACTGTGTTTATAGTGGAGTGTCTTCACAACAGGAACATCAAACAAACTCCAAATTGCAAAGTTTGCAACAGTAATATTTCCTCTGCAGCTTGGACAGTCTGTGCCACTCGTGATCGCACGTCAGTAGCATTAGGGAAGTCCCAAATTCTGCTTTCTGGAGTTGCACAATGCACATTGTGTTTGATGACAGCAGATTTACATGGTCAGGAGAGGAAACACGGGGTTGCACAGCCATGGGGGTCATGTCTTGGCAAAGAATGCTGGTGAAGATTCACCACTCTGCTCTCGTACAGGATTCAGCTCAGCCATTCCCAGATCTTTCCTGTCCCAAATTACTGTTTTAATTTCGACTCTACTTCATATTGTTTCCTCATGACGTGGTTCAGGGTTCCTTTATCTCGTGCTGCTCTTTGTAAAAATGAATATATAATGAAATCCCTGAATGATTTGGGTTGGAAGGGACCTTAAACATCATCCTGTTCCACCCCTGCTGTGGGCAGGGACACCTTCCACTGTCCCAAGTTGCTCCAAGCCCCAGCCAGCCTGGCCTTGGACAGTTCCAGGGATCCAGGAGCAG